TGCTACGCTGCTGGGCCTGCAATGCCTGCTATGCTTGCTATGTCTGCTATGCTGCTGCTGGGCCAATGCTTGCAATGCCTGCTATGCTTGCTATGTGCTATGCCTGCTATGGTTGCTATGCTTGCTTTGCTGCCACGATGCTGTGCCAATGCCTGGAATGCCTGCTATGCTTGCTATACCTGTTGTGCTGCTTGCCTGCAATGCCTGCTATGCTTGCTATGCCCGCTATGCTGCTACGTTGCTGGGCCAATGCCTGCAAGGCCTGCTATGCTTGTTAGGCCTGCTATGCTTGCTATGTTTGCTCTGCTGCCACGCTACTGGGCCAATGCCTGCTATGCCTGCTATGCCTGCAATGCCTGCTATGCCTGCTGTGCCTGAAATGCAACGCCTGCAATGCCTGCTATGCTAGCAGGCAATGCCTGCAATGCCTGCTATGCCATGCCTGCAATGCCTGCTAAGGCTGCTACGCCTGCTATGCCTGCAATGCCTGCTATGCAATGCCTGCTACGCCTGCTATGCCCACTATGCTGCTACGCTGCTGGGCAATGCTATGCCTGCTATGCCTGCAATGCCTGCCATGCTAGCAGGCAATGCCTGCAATGCCTACTATGCCTCCCATGCCTGCAATGCCTGCTATGCCTGCAATGCCTGCTATGCCTGCAATGCCGGCTATGCTATTCCTGCTATGCCTGCTATGGTGCTACGCTGCTGGGCCAATGCTTGCAATGCCTGCTATGCTTGCTATGCCTGCAGTGCCTGCAATGCCTGCTATGGCTGCTATGCCTGCAATGCCTGCTGTGCCTGCTGTGCCTGAAATGCAACGCCTGCAACGCCTGCAATGCCTGCTATGCTAGCAGCCAATGCCTGCAATGCCTGCTATGCCTCCCATGCCTGCAATGCCTGCAATGCCTGCTACGCCTGCTATGCCTGCAATGCCTGCTATGCTATGCCTGCAATGCCTGCTATGCTATGCCTGCAATGTCTGCTACGCCTGCTATGCCCACTGTGCTGCTACGCTGCTGGGAATTGCTATGCCTACAATGCCTGCTATGCTTGTTATGCCTGTAATGCCGACTGTGCTGCTACGCTGCTGGGCCAATGCCTGCAACGCCTGCTATGTTATGCCTGCAATGCCTGCAATGCCTGCTATGCCTGCTACGCCTACAATGCCGACTGTGCTGCTACGCTGCTGGGCCAATGCCTGCTATGCCTGCTATGCTGCTACGCTGCTGGGCCAATGCCTGCAGTGCCTGCTATGCTATGCTATGCCTGCAATGACGACTGTGCTGCTACGCTGCTGGGCCTATGCCTGCAACGCCTGCTATGCTATGTCTGCCATGCCAGCAATGCCTGCAATGCCTGCTATGCCTGCTATGCCTGTGCTGCTACGCTGCTGGGCCAATGCCTGCAATGCCTGCTATGCTAGGTATGCTATGCCTGCTATGCCTGCAATGCCTGCAATGCCGACTGTGCTGCTACGCTGCTGGGCCAATGCCTGCAACGCCTGGTATGCTATGCTCTTGCAATGCCTGCTATGCCGACAGTGCGACTACGCTGCTGGGCCAATGCCTGCAACGTCTTGTATGCAATGCCTTCTATGCTATGCCTGCTATGCCTGCCATGCCGACTGTGCTGCTACGCTGCTGGGCCAATGCTATGCCTGTAACGCCTGCTATGTTATGCCTGCAATTCCTGCTATGCCTGCTATGCCTGCTATGCCAACTGTGCTGCTACGCTGCTGGGCGAATGCCTGCAACGCCTGCTATTCTTTACCTGCAATCCCTGCAATGCCTGCTATGACTGCTATGCCTGCTATGCCTGCAATGCCTGCTATGCCTGGTATGCCTGGTATGGCTGATATGCCTGCAATGCCTGCTATGCTTGCTATGCTGCTACGCTGCTTGGCCAATGCCTGCATTGCCTGCTATGCCTGGTATGCCTGGTATGGCTGATATGCCTGCAATGCCTGCAATGCCTGCAATGCCTGCAATACTTGCTATGCTGCTACGCTGCTGGGCCAATGCCTGCAATGCCTGTCATGCCCGCTTTGCTTGCTATGCCTGCTATGCCTGCTATGCTGCTACGCTGCTGGGCCAATTCCTGATATGCTTGCTATGCCTGCTATGCTGCTACGCTGCTGGGCCAATGCCTGCATTGCCTGCTCTGCCTGCTATGCCTGCTATGCCTGCTATGCCTGCTATGCCTGCATTGCCGACTGTGCTGCTACGCTGCTGGGCCAACGCCTGCAACGCCTGCTATGCCTGCTATGCCTGCCATGCCGACTGTGCTGCTACGCTGCTGGTCCAATGCTATGCCTGCAATGCCTGCTATGCCTGCTATGCCTGCTATGCCGACTTTGCTGCTACGCTGCTGGGCCAATGCCTGCAACGCCTGCTATGCTTGCTATGCCTGCAATGCCTGCTATGCCTGCTATGCCGCTGCTGGGCCAATGCTATGCCTGCAATGCCTGCTATGTCTGCTCTGCCTGCAATGCTGACTGTGCTGCTGCGCTGCAGGGCCAATGCCTGCAACGCCTGCTATACTATGCCTGCAACGCCTGCTATGCTATGCCTGCAATTCCTGCTATGCCTGCTACGCCTGCTATGCCGACTGTGCTGCTACGCTGCTGGGCCAATGCCTGCAACGCCTGCTATGTTATGCCTGCAATGCCTGCAATGCCTGCTATGCCTGCTACGCCTACAATGCCGACTGTGCTGCTACGCTGCTGGGCCAATGCCTGCTATGCCTGCTATGCTGCTACGCTGCTGGGCCAATGCCTGCAGTGCCTGCTATGCTATGCTATGCCTACAATGCCTGCTATGCTTGCTATGCCTGTAATGCCGACTGTGCTGCTACGCTGCTGGGCCAATGCCTGCAACGCCTGCTATGCTATGCCTGCAATGCCTGCAATGCCTGCCATGCCTGCTATGCCTGCTACGCCTGCTGGGCCAATGCTATGCCTGCAAAGCTTGCAATGCTTGCTATGCTTTCTATGCCTGCAATGCCGACTGTGCTGCTACGCTGCTCGGCCAATGCCTGCAACGCCTGCTATGCTATGCCTGCAATGCCTGCTATGCCTGCAATGCCTGCTTTTCCTGCTACGTCTGCAATGCCGACGGTGTTGCTACGCTGCTGGGCCAATGCTCTGCCTGCAACGCCTGCTATGCTATGCCTGCAATGCCTGCTCTGCCTGCAATGCCGACTGTGCTACTACGCTGCTGGGCCAACGCCTGCAACGCCTGCTGGGCCAATGCTATGCCTGCAATGCTTGCTATGCTTGCTATGCCTGCTATGCCTGCAATGCCGACTGTGCTGCTACACTGCTCGGCCAATGCCTGCAACGCCTGCTATGCTATGCCTGCAATGCCTGCTATGCCTGCTATGCCTGCAATGCCTGCTATGCCTGCTCTGCCTGCAATGCCAGCTACGCCTGCTATGCTACGCTGCTGGGCCAATGCTACGCCTGCAATGCCTGCAATGCCTGCTCTGCCTGCTATGCCAGCTATGCCTGCTATGCCTATGCGCTCGAGAGTCGCAAGGTGGAGTACCAGGAGAGGCTCGTTCAGGCGAAAGGGATGGTTGATTTGTGAGATGCCCTTTGCGTTTTGTCGATTTTTTTGACTGCTTGCCGGTGCATGTCCCAGGTAGAGAAGCTTGAAGTGGAGGGCAAGGTGACCGAGGTCGATGTTCCTCATGCCGTCGTGCAGGATGAGTCGAAGCCAATGAGACTGCAGTGACTGCGACTCGCAAGACTGCGAGAGGAGCACATTGTTGAGGTGCCTCAACTACAGGCGAGCTGAGTCTGAGTCAAGCCATTGTAGTCTCGGTCTTCGTTTGTAGTCTGAGATTCCAAGAGTTTTGCAAGAAATTCCTCAGAGTGGCTCTTCCCAGTGTTTCAGAGTTTATTGTGAGTCGGTCAGCCAGGCCGTGGCAATGACTCGGGAGGTTGCCAAAGTACACTCCAAGACGCTGGCCCGGGACTCGATTAGCTCTCTGACTCTTCAACCTTTAAAAAATTGCCTTCGGCAGAGAGACGTTGCTTTTTCCTTCGGTATATACACCGACTTTGCTCTTCTTGCTCTTCTTGCTCTTCTTGCTCTTCTTGCTCTTCTTGCTCTTCTTGCTCTTCTTGCTCTTCTTGATCTTGCGCGGCTTTCTGAAACGGTACTGAGGCGAAGCATTTTGCCAAGCCCGTGGTGCAGTGGAAGGAGAGCGTGCGAGAGGCGGGAGCGGGGACACATGTGCCGGGAGACCGTTCGGTGCGCAGGTGCCACAAACAACTGTGCGCGAGCAGATTCAGGAGGCAGGAGACTCAGGAGACTCAGGACACAAAAGATCACAAAGTACACAAGTGCCATCCATGATCTTTATGCGGGGGGCTGTTCTGCAGACTTACTTTCCATTCTTCGCTTATGGTTGGTTGCACGCAGTCAGAAAGAATGCGACAGGTGCCACAGCGCCACCCAGTGGAGATCATGAAAGAGGACAGGGCGGAGCAGATCCGATCGTGAGTAGTACAAGCTCTTTGTAATCAGGTTCCCAAGCCCGAGCTGCAGCAAGTGGAACGACAGGCCGACTTGCCGAGGGTGCCGCGAATTTCAGGAGACGGCCGCGCAACTCAAACAAACTTGAGAAGTTACGAACACAACATTCACACAACAGACACGGGGGAGTTGGGGCAGTCAAGATGGTTGAGAGGGTTTGCTTGGGATGCTCAGCTTGGTCGGGATGGCCGCTATGCTGGCATGGTCCAGTTCTGTGAGGGGCCAAAAGAACAATTGGGGAATCAGGCTGGGTGGTCAGGGCTGACACAATCGTTTTGGCGCGCCTGACGACTTCATCAGATCATCATACGGTCGCGATGGACGGGATGGACAGTTGGCTGGTCGGGACGGTCGGGGTGGTTGAGATGGATTCGAGATGGTCGAGATGGTCAAGACGTTTGGATGGTCGGGATGGTCGAGATGGCTGGGATGGTCGGGGATGTTGGGACGGTTGGAATGTTGGAATGGTCGAGGTGGTTGGGATGTTCTGCCGCAAAACGCCCGCCGACATTAACCACAACAAAGCGGCTTCGGCCGATTCATCTTCGTCAGCCGAATTTTACATCAACCGACCCGCCGTCCCGACGTCTCAGCCTGACGGGAGCTCGGCAGGTGGAGTTGCCTGTGGTGCAGTTGCAGCAGAGAATTGTGGAAGTGCCTGCCGTGGAGATTCATGAGCAACCTAGTGAGGTGAGGGAAAGGAGCACGGCATACGACACATTCGATTCGATTCAGGTTGTGAAGGTCGAGGTGAGGGAAGTAGTACGACAAGTGCCAAAGGTTGAGGCGCGGCGGAGACAGCGCAAGCCGCAAGCCAGACTGGCCCGAGTCGCCGAGGTGCAATATGTTGAGAAGAAGGTCCCGAAACAGGTGATCCAATACGCAACTCGTCATGGGGACAGCAGGGATTCTAGGAATACAGTGCGCATAAGGTGGAGAAGACAGTGGAAGTGCCGCAAGTTGTCTACGAAGAGGTGATTGTGGAAATCCCGGAAGTGGAAGTCAAGGATCCGAGAAAGACTGCTTGACTGCCACTCCTGAAAGTGTCGCAGGAGCTTGTTCGCCAGGCTGGCAGACTTGCAAGGCACCCACCAAAGACCTATGAAGCCCGTGCAGTGCGTATGTGCATTTAGGTTCGGCCAGCCCATGTGCCATATTGCTGATTGAATTAAGCTTCCCGAGAAGCATTTTTTCATGAGTTGAGCAGGTTCCAGTGCCTGTTGTGCAATACGTGGCCAAAGCCCCAGGGCGCACTTCAATTGAATTAACGTGCTGAGAAGCATCGCCTAGGACAAGCACGTGGCCAAGCGGAGCCTGCGGGCAGTGGAGAAGGTTGTCCATGTTCCTCAAGTCTTGCATGAGGCTACGCCGTCAATCATGAGATATCATGAAGAAGCTTATGCAAATGCCGCATATGCTGCATATGTCCTTTGGCTTCGGGCGTTTCGGAGTGTCGAATGCTAGGAGCAGATTGTGGAGATCCCACAAGCAGTGGCAGTCGAGGTCGCCATCCACGTGCCGAAGGCGAAAGAAAGTTGTTAGACAGTGACAAGTTGTGCTGATCCAAGATTTGCTGTGAGCTCGGACACGAGGTCTCATACTCGGAAATTCCAAAGGAGTTCCCGAAGATCATTCTGGAGCCTCGAGAAAAGGCCGCACCTCACTTCACTTTGCATATGAGCCATATATTTTATATGATGTACATGTTTTTATATATATATATATAGTTTCATGTGCCGCACAATTGCGTGGACGTGGAGGTGGTGGAAGTGCCTGTCAGATTGGCCGAAGAGCAGCTGGTGGAAGTGCCACAGATTCAGAAGGTGCCCGTGGTGACTTGGCGCTTGACACTCGCATCACGCATCACGCATCGCGCATCACGCATCACGCATCACGCATCTGCACGCATTTCGCTTCCCGTGTGGCTTTAAGGTCAAGCAGATGCTTTGCCCAAGCATGCAGGCTCATCTTGGGCTCTGGATCTGGGGCTCTGGGTGGAAGTCGCTCATTCTGGCCATGCTTGCCACGAGTTGCAGATCTGCGACAAGTGTGGATCGCTTGATCCCTCGCCCAAAGTTCTTGGAGTTCATCTCTCGGTTTCTGTTTTCCTAACTGTCCCTTGCGTCAGATGGCGATGGACTTGTGAGCTATACAGTACTGACCGAGTACCGAGTGCGCGCGCAGTGCATGGATAAGCCGGTGCCGCTGGTGGAGACGAAGATCCAAGAGCGCCAGTTGCAGGCCCTCACCTCGAATCTCTGGGCCTCCGGGCCTCCGGGCCTCCGGGCCTCCGGGCCTCCGGAGTCGATAAGTCGGAAGGGTTTGCATCGAGAAATGGTCCGCAGTTTCTTCGCACAAAGAGTGACGCAAGCTCTCAACTCTCAGGTGCCCTACACCTTGCAAGAGGAAGCCATTCAGGAAATCCCGCAGCAGCAGGTTGTGGAAGTCAGGCGTGAGGAGCAAAGAACCCGAAGCCGAACTTCGGTGTGCCGATCCACCAATGCCAGTCACGTTGCATGTGAGGAGCTGCAGCCAGTGGCGGAAGAGGTGATCAAGCAGGCTGCGAGATTGCGCACGAGACGCGCACGGGTGTGCGGACGAGTGCGGCGCAGGTGCCGAGGTATCAAGTTGAGTACATCGAGAAGGTGGTCGAAGTCCAGTCTCAACTTGAGCAGGCAATCGCAATAGGCAATCGCAATAGGTGACAGGTAGGGTCGTTCGACTCAACTCGAGGAGCCCTCCCCGCGCAGGGCGGCCGAAGCCCGGCTTTCGAGTTTCAACGCAGTTCCTTCCCTGTCGCATTGTCGCATCGTATGCGTGCGAGCCAAGGGCACGGCGGTGTCTGTCTCGACCATTTCCGCCCTGAAAGCTGCCGCTCTCAGGGGAAGCCCGGTCTCCGGCCCAAGAAACAAATGAAATGAGAATTTGAGAATTGCCATTGACCAAATGACATCCCGAGGCAAACAGCTGCGAGAATTGCGGCGAGAGTCGTGTGCTGGTGTCTCAGATGTTGCGCTCTTCAATCCAGCGAGTATGCCTCAGGCAAAACTCAAAGTTTTGCCATGTGTGTGGACATCATTTTGAGGCTGGGAAGGCTTGTGTCGGCTCAGTTGGCTCAGTTTGTTCATGTTATTGACCTGGCAGGCTTAGCCTCGCTAATGCACTTCGGACTATGCCGCATCCCTCCAAGAGAGCAGCGAGCCCGTCCAAATCTGTTCTGTGTACCCGAATTGATTACGCTGGATGCGATCCGATTTGTCCGGAAATTCACACGGCGCGGTCATTCACAAGGGATTGCATGGCCTGTCGCATGCTGTCGCACTGCTTCCTTGGAGATGTGGCCGGGCTCAGAGAGCGATAGAGAACCTGATGCGTTTCTGATGGGTTGAGAGTCTCACGGGTTTCACAACAATGCCAAAATCTCCAAAATTCTACGGGCGTGCCTGACGTGCCAAGCCGCTGAACCACGGTTTGCCAAGCAATGAGCATGCTTCAGATGCTTCATTGGACGAAAGCACAAAAATAGCATATAGCAGGTAGCATGTAGCACAATCCCAAACCGAGACGGGCTCCAACGGCGGTTTCACTTGAGTCTTGAGAACGACTGTATGTCTTGAGAGCCAATCCAGATCTCCAGATTTGCAGATCAATTCGGCAAAGCTTGGCTCGCTGGGCTCGCTCGCTCATGGGCTTCTTGGGGGTGAGGGGTCGAAGGCGGGAATCGGAGGGCGATCTCGACTGTCGCGGTCGCGTCGCGGTCGCGTCGCGGTCGCGTCGCGGTCGCGTCGCGGTCGCGTCGCGGTCGCGTCAGTCGGGTCAGTCGGGTCAGGGACCTCAAAGACTTGGAGGAGAGAGCAGCCCTGCGCTGAGATGCGGTAAGCCATTTGCATCTACCCACGTATCTGGAGACATGTACATTACATATTTTCATGGTAACCCCGCCCATGGACCCTGGTTTGGTGGAGCTTGAACCTTTTTTTTTTTGTCCAGTGGTTTGTGCCTTTTTTGCCTCGTTGATTTGGTGGCAAAATGGGGGGTGTTAAACTTGGGAGCTAAACCTTTTGACCTAAAGTGACGAACCTGTGTGTGAGTGAAGCGCTGTTGTTTTCCTCAGGGCAATGATGTAGTCTCAGCTACTGATGTACAAGGAAGGCTCAACCTTAACCAAACCCTAAACCGTAGACCTCTAAACCTAAACCAACCCTAAATCAACATAAACCAACCCCAAACTAACCCTAAACCAACCCTAAACTAACCCCAAATACACCCTAAACCAATCCCTAAACAGTAAACCCTAAACCTAAGCCAACCCTAAACCAACCCTAAACTTACCCTAAACCAACCCCAAATACACCCTAAACCAAACCCTAAACCAAACCCTAAACCAAACCCTAAACCGTACACCTCTACACCTAAACCAACCCTAAACCAACCCTAAATCAACATACACCAACCCTAAACCAACCCTAAACTAACCCTAAATACACCCTAAATATACCCTAAACCAATTCTAAACCAACCCTAAACCACCACAACCCAACCACAGGACCACAACCACAGGGAGGGGGGGCTACTTGTCTGACCCATGACCATTGGGGGTGGGGGGCTGGCAACGCTGTACCATATATTATACATGTTTGTAATTTGCGCCATGCATGCCTGTTATATCTCTCGCGCGAGAATCGTACCCACAAATCTGCGTCGGCGGAATTTGGCAGTTCATGTCAGGCGAGGCTGCGCAGACTGGGATATCGGCCCGGCCACTTCTGCGCGCCAGGCGTGAACGAACGAAGTGCCCAGGTCCTACTTGCTGGTCAATGCCGACGGAGAGATGTGAGAGATGTGTGCACTTGGAGACGTTTGGAGAGTACAGTGAAGTGATGCGTGAAATTCGAAGTTTGGGAGTGATTTGGGTGAGTGTCAGGACACAGTGACACAGGCTGGCGACATCTGGCATTATCTGACAATCGGCAGCAAATGTCCGATTCCCGGCCAGGTTTGTGCAGACTTGTAGCAGCGGCGGAAATTCTTTCGCGGCAGAACTTGGAACCGATCTTGGCTTTGGACTTTGAGTGCCCGGCTTATACCTTTCAGTCACTGGCGGAAGTCAGATCTGGATTGCTCTGCGGAGGCGGATTCGATCCGAGGCTCCGGTTTGTTGTGCTAGCGCAGATCTTTGAGTCGAGCTTAGGAGTTGCCCTTCCATCTTCGCTGCTTCAGCATCCTCAGGCATGTCTTGAGTCTGTCATCGCGAAACGGGTTGCGGACTTGCGAGGCTTCCTTTGAGCCCAGGCGCCAATTTGGAGTCGCACCGTCGAGCCGTCGAGCCGTCGAGCCGTCGAGCCGTAGCGTGGGATCGTTAGGGAAGCAGGTGCCAAGCTCAGAGCGCATGGGTAAAGAAGCTGCTTCCAGTGCTTCCAAGCTCAGGATGTGAAGCGCCGTTGGGATGACTTTCAGCGAGCCCTGTCATGCCACACATCGGCGCAGAAAGCATTTCAACTCCGCGGGAAGGAGCTCGGCATTCTGCTGGAAGCAGACTGGCTGCAGGCATCCGAGTCTCGAGCTGCAGAAGTGGCAGGCCGTGTCATGCACCGCCTGGTGTCGCAGCTTTCTTTTGCAAAAAACAAAGCCCTGATGCTGCTTCCTCGGCACCTGGGGCACTTGCAGGAGGCAAAGTTTTCAAAGGCGCGGATCTGCAGGCTGAAGCCAACTATTGGAACGCTGCTGAATATGGCCGACTGGTTCCGACGGAATTGCGAGCCCTCCGCCGTTCATGTGCTCGCTGATGACTTTGCTCCTGCTCGGGCTTGCCCTCAATCCGGACTCGATGGCTACTGGATCGGCGAAGACGCCGCGCTGGCCCATCGAACAGTTCCGAGTCCGAGTCCGGGTCCGAGTCCGGGTCCGAGTCCGAGTCCGGGTCCGAGTCCGAGCGAGTTCATGGAGGAACTGCTCCAAGCTCATCCGTTGAGCGTCTTGGTGACCCTGGAGGCTTTGGAGCGAGGATTGGACTCGGCGGCCTCCAAAGCCATCCCCGGGCTCGGGGTGAGCGAGACGGAAGCGTCCGAGGCGTCCGCGGCGTCCGCGTCCGCGTGGGAGGAGACGTTGACGAAGGCGGTGACGGACCGCCGCGGCAAGGTGCCCCCGGGGTCCATCTGCGACTTCGCCGCTCAGATCTTCCTCTCCTGGCGGCGAGCCCTGAAGAATCTCGCGAGTCAGAACTTAAGCCTCACAGGCAGCTGTCACCCTGCCACCACCCAAGCGTGTCTTCATGCAGTCCTTCACCTATTGCAGCAGGCATGGAGCATGGCACACATGGCAGACATGGCCATTCGGCGTTCTGAGATGAAGTTTGCAGGGACAACGGCCAGGATCTCAGAAATGTCTCAATGTCTTGTAGGAGATCGGACTCGCATGGAAAAGCTGAGAAGAGACTCGAGAGGCCATCGGCCGACAAAGCGTGCAAAGCAGTGGTGGCCGCGAAGGACGGACAGGAGGTGCTAGAATTTGAACACGATGGGAAGACAAAGACTTGGACACTTTCAGAGATGACATCATAAAACACATGTTGAAAGGCCGACTGATGCCGACTGCATCAAAAATGGCAGAGATCAACATGTTTGAGCCTCTAGAGTCTGCGAGCAAGGAGCAGTCTGCAGAGAGGCTATTACTTCTGCCGCTGCCGCTTATGCCGCTGGCAGCCATGGCAGCCATGGCATGGCTCTCATTTTCTTCCTGAAATCTTATGCCTCGGCCAGGATCAGCGCAGAGGTGGGCAGCTTCTGCTGTGCGCGTTGACCCGTTGACCCGTTGACCCGTTGACCCGTTGACCGTGAGAGGAAACGAGACATGGTCCGGGATCCAGGCAGGGATTTGAGGGATTCCGAATTGGCAAAGCCCAGCCGCCGTGGTAGGCCGCAGGCTTAACTGCCGCTTGCCTGCTGCACTCCCGCCATGTTCAGTCAGACGGTCAGAATGCTGAACTGTGCCAGGACTATGGCAGATCTGCGAGCCGGAAAATGGAGGTTTCGAGACTAGAGGTTTTGAGGCTGGGCTGGCAGGCGTTGAATGTCGCAGCTTTGGCTCGAAGACATGGACGACGAGCCCCGCCACTTCTTTGGGCCCAGTCCGACACTGATTGGTTCCGAATGCGCTTTGCTCCGCTCATCTCCGCTCTCTCACTCTGAGCCTTCGCTCGCGAGGCAGAGATGTCGCCGAGGGCGGCACGGGCATGGCCCCCCCTCGCATGGGGGAGCGCACGTCGCACGGGTCGGGTGAGAAGGTCCGTGTGCCCCGCGCAGGACCCCTTGAGTGGCGCGGACGCGGAAGCGCTGGCGTCTGTGGCCAGAGCCCCACAAGCCAAGCCCATGCAAGCCCGTGCAAGCCCATGGTGTTGTGGGTGTTTTTGTGCTTATCCGATCCGAAGCTCCGGAGCTCGGCTTCAGGTGGGGCCGAGCACCTTACCAGAGGCCTGGCAGCAAGGCTTCTTCTTCGCCCCTGCCTTGGCTTATCTCTCGAATTTCTGAAACTCAACAGTCACGAGGCTGGCTACCAGCCGTATGGCTTGCAACAGGTGAACGGAGGCTCGAACTGCAAATATGCCATGAGAATTGCGAGAATTGGAGAAGGACCATGTGGCGTTCTGGCCGTCATCCAGGCATGAGAAAGGGATAGAGTCTCGGATAGAGCTTTCTAGATTCGAGTTTGGATTCGATCGAAATTGAGAGTTGAGTGGGAAGGAAGAAAGACGAAAGCCTGAAAGCCATTGGACGATATTGGACGCCAAGTTTGAAGCTCGAAGGCCTTTCTGATCCGTGCGCTGCACTTCCGTGCACCGAGTCCTGCAGCCTTGCTGGAGGCCTGGGCCGGATGAGAGAGTCAGTCGAACGTGAGCCGAGAGTTCGAAAGTCAGAAGCCGATGGCTCGACTTTCGGCAATTTCGGCAATGTCACACGTAAGTTGCAAAAGCCGCGAACTGGGCAGTGAGGACATCAGACAGCGGCCATGAGTGCAGTGCCAGCATCAAATCGAGTCAGTGAAACTCCAAGCCAAGTGCGGCACATCTCGACTCCAAAAGCATGAAGGCTCAAAAGGCTCAAGGCCTACTCTGGGCGTTTCGAACCTCTCAGCCTCTCAAGGCGGTCAGCCGAAGCCAAAGTGCGCCACCGAAAAAGAGGCGCAAGGAAGGCTTAGGAAAGCTCTGTCGACATGGCCTTAGCAGGAACGCGCCAGCGCCATCCACGAGTTAATCCGCTTTCTCCTCGCCATTGCCTTGCAGAACATCTCAATGTGTTTTAAAAGCTGGCCTGCATCAAAGCTTTCTAGCTAGCAAAAAGGCCCCACTTAATAGAGTAGCAGAAGATGACAAGAACAATAATGCGATTCACGAGCATTGGCGCAGTGTGTACTGGCTTTGTTGGTTTTGCCTCCCCTGGCTCTGTTTGCCAGCCTAAGCACCTGCCTATTGCCTCAAGTTGTTTTTGGTGGAACAGGTTGATGAGAACCTTCGCCAAGAAGCACTGATGGACGCTTTGGCCGAGGCCCGGAACCATTTGAGCGAGATGCTTTCTCTAGTCAGTCTAGCAAGCATGTGGCACTTCAAACAATGCTCGGGAATGAAGTCATTCAAGACACCTACACTCAGGCGAGCTGCTCGTTTGCAAGTATCTAAACCGGGGTGACGGGGTGACGACGTTTTGTTCTTCCAACGTGTGTTCTTTTGTGAAATGCTTTAATGAATCAACCACGCCCTCTAAGCGAAACTCCTTTAATTTTAAAGGGTCAAGTGGGAAAACCTGGTTTTTGGGCAAGTTTTGGAAAAATAAAGGTTTTCCAGGGAAAACCTGGTATTTCACTTACAGCCTCTATTTTGGATGTTTGAAGAACAGAGCAAAGGTGCCGGATCTCGAGCAGGTGTTGAAAGGAGCCGCCAGGTTTCTTTCACTGCCAAATTGTATATTGGGTTTCTAGACGTGTTTTTGGGAATCTCTTGTTTCCTTTTGTACCGCCAAGTGCGCGATAGCCCCCCGCTCCTCAAGATTGGAGCTCAAAAGGCAGGGGTAGACGCGAGGGCGTGGTCAGCCAAAACTCAAGAATGAAACGGGACAACCAACTTGAATGTACAAGTGTGCAGTTCACTACATGACCATCAGTAGCTCTGCGTGATTGACACATCATGCTCAAGCACGGTGCTTTTTTGTATTTTTTAAAACATCATGCAGTATCCCAAAGTGGCACTTGCATTTGTTACTCGGCTCGGCGCGCAAGCCAACAAAGCTGGCCTCCGCCTAAGTCGCACTTTCTTCCAGCACCCAGAGATTCCTCGATTCGATGGGAAGCACAGTCCAAGCCAAACATGTTGCGTAGTACGTGTTTGTTCTACCGCAATGTCACACAAAACCAGTTCGCTGCTCGCGCAATCTAGCTGTGTGCCGGCTTTTCTTTGCTGGACAGCTTCTGGAAGGGCGAGCGCATGCGAAAAAAAAAAGGAAACCCATAAAAATCCCATACGAATCCCATAAAACATCCCATACAAACCCATATTTTTCCGAAAACCATGTTTTTCCTAACCCGTACAAAAACCGCACAAATCCCAAAGAAATACCGTACAAACCCGTACGCAATTTATGGGATTTTCAGCCTCTGCTCAAACAGCTTTCCAGGCCCGAGTTGCCCGAAATAAGCTGGCAAAGTGACCCTGCGAAAACCTGCTGTCCAGTGTTCAAAGTGGGTTATGTTCTTTTGGCTCGCTCCGAAAATGATGTTCCTGCGACGTTTTAGACAAGCCTGCGAGAAGCTCCGGGAAACAAGTGAGCATTTGCAAGACGGCCCTCCAGCCGTATCCGACGCGAGCTGTACGCAAACAGTCCCAAGCAGATTGCTCAGTGCCATACACAATATGTATACACGTGCAGCTACCGCTTGCGGTAAACTGGGACTACTTGTTGCCCTTGTCAGAAAGTTCATATTCCAATGCTCTTTTAAACTTCCCGAGCCACGATCTGGGAAGCCTTCCCAACAATTGCGGATTGACCATTGTTTCGAGTTCAGCAGGTGATTTGCAACAGGTGCCATGCTCAATGAGCTTGCTTGGATGGGATTGCTAGGCGGCCGTGGAGCGTTTGACTGGATGAGCCAACAAAAGGTTATATTGAGGGAACCACAGTCATAACTCACGCAAGACCATTCTGATTACAACGCAAAAAGTAGAAACCCGGTATTTCCTGAAAAAACCTGGATATTTTGCCATACCTTTAAAATTAATGCATATTTGCTTAGAGGGCGCGGGCAAAACCTTGAAGATTCGACATCGTTGGGCGTCAAGATGCTTGCCATAGTGTCGCTCTCGGTATCAGCATCCGTCGAGCCTGAGCCAAATGTGCCAATTTGTGCTTTGCACAGGTTCTGTTCAGAAACGTTGGGGACAACAAGAAGGCGCTTGAATTCAAAAATGCTTTGCCTCGCGGGGATGCTGACGCTTCGATGCCCAGGCATTCATTCTGATCCCAAGTTCTGCATCAGCTCAAGTACTTGGTGGGCTGGGTGCTGAGCCGAAGCAATCGCACGCGGGACGCGACTTGCAAATGAATTTCACGGCTGGAGTTGTTAGGTCGCAACTGAGATGTTTGCAGCCTGCCCTCTTCACCTCGTACGACCAGCTGCGGCACCATCTAGGTCAAAGGCCGTCGTGAGAGAAATCGGTTTAGGCCGATTGATTTGGGTTTTGTGTTCGAGCAAGTTGCGCCGGAGCACTCGGTGCCAGGCCATACCGAGACATGTTCTTCAACCCCTCCGGCTGCGGAGTGCCGCTCTATCTCTTCTCCATGGTTTGGACCGAAAGTGAAGCAACTTGAAATGTTTCATGTTCGCAAAGCCGACACTGCGTTTTCCCTCGAGCCGGACATGTGAGTCATGCTTCAAATGTCCAGGACCCGCGGTGTCGAAAGCTGCAGAGAGAGAGACTTCGATGATCCCAAAACGGGAGCAATGATCGGTGGTCATGGCTACTGCACGCAGGCCAGAAGAAGACGAAAGGAAGGAAGGAAGGAAGGAAGGAAGGAAGGAAGAAAGAAAGAAAGAAAGACACACACACACACAGTCGACTGCAATCGGTTGCTTGATATTTGTCAGGAGTTGGTCAATCTTATGATGTTCGGCCGCGCGTATAGCAATGTCTTTGACGGCACCAAGCGCTTGGGTACCGCCAAGGACCCGGAGAATTCGTTGAGATCTTGGGATGATGGATGGATAGGATGGCTGGCTGGTCTTGCAGGGCGCACCGACGGAGCCTTAATTGATTCGGCTTTCGGCACCTGGACCTGGAAGCAAATCAGAGACTTGAAGACGCAAGGCGCCGGGCTTGCATTGGCTTCCTCTCACTCTTCGAGGCGTATGGCTGCATTGAGGTGGGCTCGATCTTTCCTTACAATTCGAATTGTTAATTTACAGTTTATTTTAACAATTCGCTTGCTGGCTTAGCTTCTGAGTTGGGAGGTGGGCAGCCGCTACAAAGGGCCAACGTGCCCTGCATGGGTGGTATGTGCAGAGGCCTTCCCCGCATTCGAACCGGTTCGGATCCCCCCGTCGTGTTCCCGCGCACCTTCAGTCACACTACACCGTCCTCTTCTCAGCAGACGCCTCCCACAACCCCCAAGATTCCGACCAGGCCCGGAATGCTCGGAATGCCCGGAATACCCGGAATGCCCGGCATGCCCAAAATGCCCGAAATGTGCGCTCGGTTCAGGCGGTGGACTTGTTCTATTTTGATCAGCTAGCACGGCAATCGGAGCGCATACGCCTCACAGCCTTGAGCTCGGGAGATTCAGAATCGTTTGCTTGCATCGTTTCGCATCGTTTCGCATCGTTTGCTTTAGGTCATCCCAAAGCAGCTTCCTGCACACCTCAGCACTGGCTTTGAGGACCGCGCAGCCGCGGCGCATTCGTCTCAGCGCGACATGGCAAGGAGAGCGAGTCAATGATCGACCGCTGCATCCGGACAAAGTGGAAGGACCGGAGATGGCTCCCATTGGCTCCAACCATTCGAAAGCTACAATTCTCGAGGAAGCCATGGTCGACTGGAATGGAAGTGAAGTCATTTTGTGACGTGACCACTTGCAGCAAAGGCGTTTTGTTCGAGCGTGGTGCATGCAATAGTTTCTGCTACCGACCAGACTGGTGCAACTCCGCGTTTGACGTGTCTTGCGCTCTCGCTGGTGCTGTTTGGCTTTCAGACATCCAAAAGAGAAGTGAGCGAGTGAGCGCTTGTGTGTATGTCGGCGTTCGACCTTTAGAGCATAAACGGTTCCGCTTCGCATGGGGGCGAGCTGCGTCAGCCAAATGCAGCCACGTGCTCAGAGGGATAGATGAGTTCCAAGCAGATCGTGTGATTTGAATGACTCCTTCGTAGGTTTTGCCAGGGGGCAATGTGCGCAATCGGGGTGTCTTGCTCAGGAAGAAGACCTGCCTGTCCGGGGCTCCGACCTTTTCTTGTTCTGGGCATGTCTGGGCACAGTGTCAGGTGTTGGCCATGGAAGCGTGGGGCACTCGTGCCAATTCCGGCTCCGGACCGCTAAACATTGAAAGATTCATCTTTGGAACTTTGTGCCTTGCGATGCCTTCGTTTCGACTCCGAGGCCGCTCTTGGCCTTCGCTGGGATTCCGCAGAGGCCGACGCGGAGCCCGTGAGCCCGTGAGCCCGGACGCGAGCCGGTGTCAGGTGCTCGGCCAGCCCGCCAGACACCCAGATCCTAGATCCCACATCCCCTTGTGAGAGAGCGAGAGAGTGTCACTGCGTGCTGTGTTCATGTCTCATGCAATCTCTGTGAATCTTTTCCCAAAGTCGGATGCATAGCTTCTGCCAGCTCGACCTTCAGCAATTCAATTCCAGCCGTGTTGTGCTCCGCAACTGCGGTAGATGATTGTGTTGTCTTGCCAATAACACATCAGCTTGTCAGCTTGTATCAGCTTCTCCTTGTTGCATTGTCTTGGCTCGTTACCGCTACCTGTTTTGTTGCCTCACCAATTGAGTGTTTCAAACTACGCTCGCTGTCAGGCGAAGCGTGTTTGGCGGTGAACTCAGCTTGGCTTGTGAGTGCATCGTTTGGGAGTGGGGCCAGGTACATTTCAACACCAACGCTTCTCCGCAGTGCCCTACACATTTGAAATTCGCGTGGCATGGATGTGTTTCTGAGGTGGCAGGAGTCAGGGCCTGAAGCCGAGCGATTCGACGATTCGATGACTCCGATTCCGAAGGCACAGACTGCCGTGCGGCCTCTTGCCCTCACAGGCATCGCAGTCATCGCTTTCACTTAGCACATCTCACTTTCCTGCTTTCACAGGTCTCTGAGCTTTTAGATCGCGACATCACACCCGATGACTACGAAATGTTCCTTGACAAAAGGAATGCGAGGAACGCGAAGAGCCCGAAATTCTAACGAAGGAGTCCAAGGACGTAGGTCAGCTTTGACCGAAGTGTAGGTTGCTCCAACTGGACGAAGCACTTGCCCGCCCCACGGCCGACAAACACAGCTCTCCTCTCAGCTTCGGCTCCGAGACCCGTTCGAGTTGATTTCATGCAGGCCTGGACAAGAGCTTGACACCAGTTGCGAAGGAGCATGCGGCATGCGGCATGATGCGGCACGATGCGGCACGATGAGCAATGTGCGCACTGTGGCAGCGGCATCTGAGCTTTGATATCAACCCAGGAGGTCCTCGGGGAGACCTGCTCTGTGTGTTTGCATGCCTTCGAGAGGACGGATGCGCAAAGACGCAAAGACGCAATGCGTGCCAATGCGTCCCACTGCGTGCCACTGCGTCCCATGTTGTGACACCACGGTTACGTCTTGTTTTGTGTCTCGATTCTCTCGATGTTCGGAAGGAGTGACTCGGTCTCTGCCCTGAGGCCCTGACCTTTGCCAGTGCGGTTGCCATTGCCATGCTGTTGCTCGCGAGGTGCTCGCACATGTTCCACGAGGAGAAAACTGTGCTTGAAATCCGTGCTGAAATCAGTCCGCAGGACTGCATTTCCAAGTGGTTGCTGGAAAGATGCGCTGCATGTCCTCTTTGCAATGATGGGATCCGGATGCCTGCACCTCTATCCTCAGATGCCCCTTGCCCTTTTGTCAAACTTTCAACCTAGGTCTTGAGCTGCTTAGCGCTGAGCCTAGCCTTACAGCAAGTATTTCTGGATTGCTCAATGGGCTGAGGAGCAAAAGAGAGAGAGAGAGAGACCTTCTCTCCGCTTTGCAGAAGGCTTTGCGAGTTGAGTCTTTGACTGTCATTTGGAGAATGGATGTTGCATGCATTGCATGCATTGCATGCATTGCATGCATGTCCAATCACACCTCTCACCTTGCCAGTCAGAGCCTTTTTGAGCAATGCCCGTGGCTGAGGGGTTGCAGAGACTCCTTTTCTTTCCGGTTGAGTTCTCTTGCCACAAGTTCTGGCAGTGCTTATCGAGGCCGGCGCCTGTACATAGACACACTAGGTGTGATGTCGGTCTCATGCTGAAGCTTGTAGCCTGTGGAAAGTTACAAGGAACACACTTGCAGCTTGCAAGTTGGCAATACAGCCTCGAAGAAATGTGAATGCCAAGTGGGACGGGCTGGCTGGTTGCCCTATATTTGTGCGCAAAGCATGCTTTTGAAATAAGTTTAAGGGCTGCCGCCCAGTTGATCCAAAGGCCATTTGTGACACGCCAATGCATAGATACAACTCCATGATTCTATGGAAGCGCTACACTTTAGCAACAGCAGCAGCAGAGCAAGAGGGCGAAAAATAATAATAACGATGATGATGATGATGATGATGGTGGTGGTGGTGATGATGATGATGATGATTGAGCATCCCCAGCATCAGCAGAGGGGCCTAAAATCTACAAAAATAATAACTCATGACAGCGATGGTGCTGATGGTGATGATGGTGATGATGATGATGATGATGATGATGATGATGATGATGATGCCTTGCGCATCTCCAGAACCACCGGCGGCGCCTAACGTCACAGTTGACGTCACAATTGAAATCTATAAAGGAAATGATGTTGACGATGATGATCACGATGATGGTGACGATGATGATGCCTTAGATTACGCATCCGCAGCACTACCAGCGGGGCCTAACATGACAAAAACACGATAACTGTGATGAGTATGATAATGAGTTTGCTTCATGTTGATGACATCGCTGCCATGTTTGCCTCATTTCTTGCAGATGCCATCGCCGCAAATTTAGAATTGTTTCTTGCTGATGGCATCGTCACAAAGGTGTCCTCATTTCTTGTTGATAGCATCACCGCCTATCACCGCAAACTTTGCCTCATTTCTAGTTGAGTAATGACGACTTCTGGGCCCCCAAAGAGGCACCCATGATGCACGCATGTCATAAGGCCACTTGATTGCATACGTGTTGACAAGTTTGCCTACGGGGATTAATAAAGGTCCCAGCTTCTGGTTCGCCGTGTTTCTTTCCCTGTTGAGTGGTTATCATACGTAATCGCTTCTTGGGATAGGCCCCCCCAGTCCGGTAAGTGCGCGCACGTCGTGCGTGCACGATGCGAGACCTGGGTACATCGTCGCAGGTGCTACTACGAGGCCTACGACAAGCTCAACCGCTGGGCGTGGCGGCATTTCCAGATAGGAGGAGGTTCTCTGGGAAGAAGCTACAGACAAGTTCCGGGTTCGCTTGCAGCCTGGCGAGCAGATGTTTCTGACAATGGCCATCGCCACCTTCGAGACGCACATCCACAGCTGTATCAAGCCGCAGCTACAAGCGTGGCGGCGCAAGGACAAGCCCATCGTCGACTACCCAATGGGACCAGGCTGCAGCTCCAAGCGCAGCGCAGCAGACAACCCCCAGCCCAGCAGCAACAACTGGGCCGAAATCTCTTGGTCGGCCAACGTGCCCAGGTCGGGCTACGCCTGTATTGGCTGAGGCTGCCGCGGACAGACAGTCCACACAGGGCCTTCCGAGGAACGCGACCCAATTCGTGGACGTCTCCGGAGAGAAGCGCAGAAGCTCTTGTCTCCGGAAGCGTTGCGGCGTTGCGTACAATAAATACCAGGCGGGGGTACGAAGTGCCGCAGATCAAGCGGCCTGCCCTGACTGAACGTGAGCCACCAGAAGCTCCCCAAGATTGCCTTTGGGACAAGAGCACCGCCTGTTAAGCCACCGCCCCGTAGCTGCAAACCGCGCTGCAGCAAAGGCAGTCCACGTTGAGGCAGGCGCCAGCGCCTCCTGCCCCAGCATCAAACACGCAAGATACAAGCCCGCTCCGCCGCGGCCACAGCAGGAGCCGAGGCTGCTGAAAGAAGTTGTTGGCTTCATGGAGTTGCAGTTCGCTCGAAGCCGCCAGATGTTGCAAGAGCTCCTCAAAGTTTATCCCGAAGGCATCCCAGAAAGTTTCAGCAGCATTCGCCTCCTTCTTGCACAAATAATTTGCAACAAGAAGTGTCACGCAGTGTATATTCACCCAGGAGAAGTGCTTGAATTTGCGCAAGGAGGCCGCTGAAGCGAAAAAGCAGCCAAAAACCCACAAATTTCACAAGGTGGCTGTCCTGGAAAAATGATTAACATATCAGATTCAGTGATGTTAGATAAACACCCAGAACAACCACTAAGAAGACTATATTGTAGAGATTTAGTCGAAGAGATGTACAACAGTTTGTGTAATGAAGAAATAACATGTAATTATTATAAAAATGGAAAGAAGTAAAAACCGAAATAAGCAAATGCAGAACTCATTCATAACGTGTAACACCAGCTTATACATTCTAGAATTTCTTTTGCGATATAAATAGAATCTGAAAATTAGACAAAAGTATGACAAACATATAACTGCAGGAATAGTGGATGTTATTGGTGAATTGTGCTGTATGCGTATTGAAGGATGGGGTGAACATTAACACCATAATTTTAACCAATGTTAATTGTTAAACTTATGATGTATATAAACATGTTCAAGTGCAAAACACATAGTTTTCGAAAACATATTGTTTTTAAATCTCTGAATGAGGATGTGTCTCTTCCCAGAACCGCTTCGTAACCAAATTGGAAAGCCGCATAAGCGTGCACTTGTTTACCGAGCCAATGAATCTCAGAGCGAGCCAAAGAGCTTTTGTTTTGGAACACGCGCAGCCGTTTCGAGGCTCGAATCATGTCCTGAATTACTGCAGGATCGCCCAACCCTGGGCTTGCTCCGCCGCTGGGCCGAGCTATCGAGCGATTCAGCGCGAAGTTGGCAGATGCCGAGGTTAGCGAAATGTTGCGACTGGGCCTCGTCTGCCACGTCGTCTGCCTCGCGGGCCTCACAGGGGCTGTGACTCCCAAGGCGCCGATGCCGACACGTGACATTCGAATCAGCGATGTCGATGTCGATCGATGTCCCGATAGGTGTCCCTCGGGGCTGAGGCTTGGAAATTGTGACTCAGGCTGAGTCTGGTCTCCCATTGTGACATAGCTGCGGCTCAGTCCCCGGAGAAGCTTATGCTACAGCCCCCGGAGAATGAGAACGACAAGGCGCGCCAACGGAACGAGACGAGAAGTGAAAAAGGAAGCGACTTGTCCACAGCAAGCAAGTTGTGTGCAAGTGCATTCTGTGCAGGGTCCGGCGCGACCATTCTGGGTGCTCAGCTCACGTGTCCCCTGGCTTTGGTCTAATCATTTGCCAAGGTCTTTGACATGGACGCCATGTGGAATCAGAAGGCCCGTGTCAGTCTGTCCAGGTGAAAAGTGGCCCATGAGACCCAAAGAAACAGAGTACCTTGTGAAAGAGCTGCTTTGACCAGCGTTGCAGAAGCTATGAACCCATGCAACCCAACCGCACAAAGTCTCCTGAAAATGAAAGTTCTGCGACCTGCACATGCCAAGCAAATCTCCAGACCAATTTTGGGAGTCTGGTGGGATATTTGCCCATTGTTTCGCTACATTAAATCTACATCATATTTGGGAATGCGCTACTATTAAAATTTGCTGCAAAGGCCAATTGAATTCTTTCCGGATCAAGCTCTATTTTAAGTCACATTTGGGAAGGGATTCCAAATTTATTTTTATGTTCAAAAGCCAATCGAACTCTGTTTGTATGAAAGTATATTTAGACTCTACGTAAATGTTAGTTACTGTTAGTTGTCCTTATTTGGAAAGGATTTCCTATTCAAATGAAGGAATTCTAGAGGTCCAACAAACTGCTGTAAAACACCATGTTTTGCAGAATGTGCTCAGATTGCGTTCCCTTGGATATTTTTGCCTCAAGCGATATTTTTTCCTAAACCAACAGTATCCATTGCCACGCAAAAAACCTACATAAGGTTTATTTCACGTTTATGAACCTTCCCGAGTGTTTGGCGGTTTTTCGCAACAAGGTAACACCCTGGAAGCTCTTCATGGTCATGGCATCGTTGTTGGGTGGGGGGAGGGCGGGGGAGGTTGGAAGTCTTAACAGTGAGATGTGACTCCACCAACTCTTGTAAAGACTTCTCACTCCCTCCCCTGTCCCAGACTTTTAAGCCCTGCATGGGAAATCGTCAAACCCTTGACATAGTTTACAAACTTTCCTGAAGATTTAACAACTCTTTGCAGTTGTTTCTCAACATGACTTGTCGCCCACACAAAATATGCAACAACAGCACACTTCTTGCGTATGCATGCTCACACCCCCTGTCTTGAAAATAAGAGGATTTGCACATTTTGAAGTGGAAAGGAAGGGGTTGCCGGGGGGGGGGGAGCATATACATAACGGTTTTCTTTGAAGCGTGGTGGATTCTGTGCGCAGCGTCATTGTTGCCATCCCAGGTTTACCTAGATCACCTATGTTCGCGAAGCCGTCCGAAGTTGTTTTCAACGGACCAAAGCGTGGCATGGGCTGCCCAAAGCCATTGGCAGCCGACACTTCAGGGACCGCTTTTCGACGGCTGAGAGACAAGAGAGTGCAACACAAACTAGAGCCATTGAAAGCCAGCAGAAATGCGCGTTTGATGTTTCCATCATTTTCCAGATGTCTGCTTTCACTGGCTTCTTTTGTCACCTTTCGTCAGGCTGCCAATTGCTGCATGGTGATGGCGGCCGCTGGAGTGCTTTGTGCAGCGGGGGGCATCGGCGGTGGAGGCCGGCTTTGCATTTCAGTTCAGACTTATCCTGAAAAAATAACTCCCTGAGTTGATAGGTTTTTGATCGGGTTTCAAGTTGAGACATGTTGAGACTTGAGAGAGCTGAGAGTCCCAGGTATTTATGTCACCGTGCTCATGGTGGCTGGAGGTGGGTTTCTTTGCAGCAAGTGAACGAGTGGCACGGGAAATTCGAAGGCCTTTCTGTCCGCGATGCAGTGCCGCTTTCCAAAGCTGTGGTCTTCATTGGCTCAATCTCTTCGCTGTTCCTGAACTTGAGGACGGGGGATTGGTCGGATTCGGCGTTTTGTGCGTATGTCGTGCTTGTTTCGTGATTTCGCAGGAAAGCCACCAGCACCCGGGACGGGCTGATCGACTACAATGTGTGCCGATTGGCCGGTGCCTGAAATTTGGAGAATTCGAAGGCCTCGAAGCACTCCGAGAATCGTCAAGCCGCGGAGCCATTTCATTTGACTCAGATCTCTCAACTTTGCTTTGCTCCGGCACTCCGACTTCTCAAGCAGTTGTTTTGCCCGAGTTTCCCTTGTCAGTTTCTTCCTAACCTTCCTATCCTTCCTATCCTTCCTATCCTTCCTATCCTTCCTATCCTTCCTATCCTTCCTATCCTTCCTATCCTTCCTATCCTTCCTATCCTTCCTATCCTTCCTATCCTTCCTATCCTTCCTATCCTTCCTATCCGTCCTATCCTTCCTATCCTTCCTATCCTTCCTGTCCTTCCTGTCCTTCCTGTCCCTCCTCTCCTTCCTATCCTTCCTATCCTTCCTATCCTTCCTATCCTTCCTATCCTTCCTATCCTTCCTATCCTTCCTATCCTTCCTATCCTTCCTGTCCTTCCTGTCCTTCCTTCCTATCCTTCCTCTTCTTCCTATCCTTCCTATCCTTCCTGTCCTTATCCTTCCTATCCTTCCTATCCTTCCTATCCTTCCTATCCTTCCTATCCTTCCTATCCTTCCTATCCTATCCGTCCTATCCTTCCTATCCTTCCTATCCTTCCTGTCCTTCCTGTCCTTCCTATCCTTCCTCTTCTTCCTATCCTTCCTATCCTTCCTATCCTTCCTATCCGTCCTATCCTTCCTATCCTTCCTATCCTTCCTGTCCTTCCTGTCCTTCCTGTCCTTCCTATCCTTCCTATCCTCCCTCCTTCCTATCCTTCCTATCCTTCCTATCCTTCCTATCCTTCCTATCCTTCCTATCCTTCCTGTCCTTCCTGTCCTTCCTATCCTTCCTCTTCTTCCTATCCTTCCTATCCTTCCTGTCCTTCCTGTCCTTCCTGTCCTTCCTCCTATCCTTCCTATCCTTCCTATCCTTCCTATCCTTCCTATCCTTCCTATCCTTCCTATCCTATCCCTATGTCCTTCCTATCCTTCCTGTCCTTCCTGTCCTTCCTGTCCTTCCTGTCCTTCCTGTCCTTCCTCCTATCCTTCCTATCTTCTTGTCCTTCCTGTCCTGTCCCTGTCCTTCCTGTCCTTCCTGTCCTTCCTGTCCTTCCTGTCCTTCCTGTCCTTCCTGTCCTTCCTATCCTTCCTATCCTTCCTATCCTTCCTATCCTTCCTATCCTTCCTATCCTTCCTATCCTTCCTATCCTTCCTATCCTTCCTATCCTTCCTATCCTTCCTATCCTTCCTATCCTTCCTATCCTTCCTGTCCTTCCTGTCCTTCCTGTCCCTCCTCTCCTTCCTATCCTTCCTATCCTTCCTATCCTTCCTATCCTTCCTATCCTTCCTATCCTTCCTGTCCTTCCTGTCCTTCCTATCCTTCCTCTTCTTCCTATCCTTCCTATCCTTCCTGTCCTTCCTGTCCTTCCTGTCCTTCCTCTTCTTCCTATCCTTCCTATCCTTCCTATCCTTCCTATCCTTCCTATCCTTCCTATCCTTCCTATTCTTCCTATCCCTCCTCTCCTTCCTGTCCTTCCTGTCCTTCCTCTCCTTCCTGTCCTTCCTGTCCTTCCTATCCTTCCTATCCTTCCTCTTCTTCCTATCCTTCCTATCCTTTCTATCCTTCCTATCCTTCCTATCCTTCCTATCCTTCGTATCCTTCCTATCCTTCCTATCCTTCCTGTCCTTCCTGTCCTTCCTGTCCTTCCTGTCCTTCCTGTCCTTCCTATCCTTCCTCTTCTTCCTATCCTTCCTATCCTTCCTATCCTTCCTATCCTTCCTATCCTTCCTAAATCCTATCCGTCCTATCCTTCCTATCCTTCCTATCCTTCCTATCCTTCCTATCCTTCCTATCATTCCTATCCTTTCTATCCTTCCTATCCTTCCTATCCTTCCTATCCTTCCTATCCTTCCTATCCTTCCTATCCTTCCTGTCCTTCCTGTCCTTCCTGTCCCTCCTCTCCTTCCTATCCTTCCTATCCTTCCTATCCTTCCTATCCTTCCTATCCTTCCTGTCCTTCCTGTCCTTCCTATCCTTCCTCTTCTTCCTATCCTTCCTATCCTTCCTGTCCTTCCTGTCCTTCCTCTTCTTCCTATCCTTCCTATCCTTCCTATCCTTCCTATCCTTCCTATCCTTCCTATCCTTCCTATTCTTCCTATCCCTCCTCTCCTTCCTGTCCTTCCTGTCCTTCCTCTCCTTCCTGTCCTTTCTGTCCTTTCTGTCCTTCCTATCCTTCCTATCCTTCCTATCCTTGCTATCCTTGCTATCCTTCCTATCCTTCCTATCCTTCCTATCCTTCCTATCCTTCCTATCCTTCCTATCCTTCCTATCCTTCCTGTCCTTCCTGTCCTTCCTGTCCTTCCTCTTCTTCATCTTCTTCCTATCCTTCCTATCCTTCCTGTCCTTCCTGTCCTTCCTATCCTTCCTATCCTTCCTATCCTTCCTATCCTTCCTATCCTTCCTATCCTTCCTATCCTTCCTTTCCTATCCTTCCGTTCCTATCCTTCGTATGTCCTTCCTATCCTTCCTCTCCTTCCTATCCTTCCTATCCTTCCTATGTCCTTCCTATCCTATCCTTCCTACCTATGTCCTTCCTATCCTGTCCTTCCTATGTCCTTCCTATCCTTCCTATGTCCTTCCTATCCTATCCTTCCTATCCTTCCTATCCTTCCTATCCTTCCTATGTCCTTCCTATCCTATCCTTCCTATGTCCTTCCTATCCTTCCTGTCCTTCCTGTCCTTCCTCTCCTTCCTCTCCTTCCTATCCTTCCTATCCTTCCTATCCTTCCTATCCTTCCTGTCCTTCCTATCCTTCCTATTCTTCCTATCCTTCCTATCTTTCCTTTCCTTCCTATCCTTCCTATCCTTCCTATCCTTCCTATCCTTCCTATCCTTCCTATCCTGACTATGTCCTTCCTATCCTATCCTTCCTATGTCCTTCCTATCCTTCCTGTCCTTCCTCTCCTTCCTGTCCTTTCTGTCCTTCCTCTCCTTCCTGTCCTTCCTGTCCTTCCTCTCCTTCCTATCCTTCCTGTCCTTCCTATCCTTCCTATCCTTCCTGTCCTTCCTGTCCTTCCTCTCCTTCCTATCCGTTCTATCCTTCCTATCCTTCCTATCCTTCCTATCCTTCCTGTCCTTCCTGTCCTTCCTATCCTTCCTATCCTTCCTCTTCTTCCTATCCTTCCTATCCTTCCTATCCTTCCTATCCTTCCTATCCTTCCTGTGCTTCTCATCCTTCCTATCCTTCCTATCCTTCCTGTCCTTCCTATCCTTCCTCTCCTTCCTATCCTTTCTATCCTTTCTATCCTTCCTATCCTTCCTATCCTTCCTATCCTTCCTATCCTTCCTCTCCTTCCTATCCTTCCTATCCTTCCTATGTCCTTCCTATCCTATCCTTCCTGTCCTTCCTGTCCTATCCTTCCTATCCTTCCTATCCTTCCTGTCCTTCCTATCCTTCCTCTCCTTCCTCTCCTTCCTATCCTTCCTATCCTTCCTATCCTTCCTGTCCTTCCTGTCCTTTCTGTCCTTCCTCTCCTTTCTGTCCTTCCTCTCCTTCCTCTCCTTCCTGTCCTTCCTCTCCTTCCTCTCCTTCCTCTCCTTCCTATCCTTCCTATCCTTCCTGTCCTTCCTCTCTTTCCTTTTCTTCCTATCTTTCCTATCCTTCCTATCCTTCCTATCCTTCCTATCCTTCCTATCCTTCCTGTCCTTCCTGTCCTTCCTATCCTTCCTATCCTTCCTGTCCTTCCTGTCCTTCCTATCCTTCCTGTCCTTCCTGTCCTTCCTATCCTTCCTATCCTTCCTATCCTTCCTGTCCTTCCTGTCCTTCCTATCCTTCCTATCCTTCCTGTCCTTCCTGTCCTTCCTGTCCTTCCTATCCTTCCTATCCTTCTTGTCCTTCCTGTCCTTCCTATCCTTCCTATCCTTCCTCTCCTTCCTCTCCTTCCTATCCTTCCTATCCTTCCTATCCTTCTTATCCTTCCTGTCCTTCCTCTCCTTCCTGTCCTTCCTGTCCCTCCTCTCCTTCCTGTCCTTTCTGTCCTTCCTCTCCTTCCTGTCCTTCCTGTCCTTCCTCTCCTTCCTCTGCTTCCTGTCCTTCCTGTCCTTCCTGTCCTTCCTCTCCTTCCTCTCCTTCCTCTCCATCCTCTCCTTCCTATCCTTCCTGTCCTTCCTGTCCTTCCTCTCCTTCCTATCCGTCCTATCCTTCCTATCCTTCCTATCCTTCCTATCCTTCCTGTCCTTCCTGTCCTTCCTATCCTTCCTATCCTTCCTATCCTTCCTGTCCTTCCTATCCTTCCTCTCCTTCCTCTCCTTCCTATCCTTCCTATCCTTCCTATCCTTCCTGTCCTTCCTGTCCTTTCTGTCCTTCCTCTCCTTCCTGTCCTTCTTGTCCGTCCTCTCCTTCCTCTCCTTTCTGTCCTTCCTCTCCTTCCTCTTCCCTCTGCTTCCTCTCCTTGCTCTCCTTCCTATCCTTCCTCTCCTTCCTATCCTTCCTGTCCTTCCTCCCCTTCCTATCCTTCCTATCTTTCCTATCCTTCCTATCCTTCCTATCCTTCCTGTCCTTTCTGTCCTTTCTGTCCTTTCTGTCCTTCCTGTCCTTCCTGTCCTTCCTCTCCTTCCTCTCCTTCCTGTCCTTCCTGTCCTTCCTGTCCTTCCTCTCCTTCCTCTTCTTCCTCTCCTTCCTATCCTTCCTATCCTTTCTGTCCTTCCTCTCCTTCCTCTTCTTCCTATCTTTCCTATCCTTCCTATCCTTCCTATCCTTCCTATCCTTCCTGTCCTTCCTGTCCTTCCTATCCTTCCTATCCTTCCTGTCCTTCCTGTCCTTCCTATCCTTCCTGTCCTTCCTGTCCTTCCTATCCTTCCTGTCCCTCCTATCCTTCCTGTCCTTCCTGTCCTTCCTATCCTTCCTATCCTTCCTGTCCTTCCTGTCCTTCCTGTCCTTCCTATCCTTCCTGTCCTTCCTGTCCTTCCTGTCCTTCCTATCCTTCCTATCCTTCCTGTCCTTCCTGTCCTTCCTATCCTTCCTATCCTTCCTATCCTTCCTATCCTTCTTATCCTTCCTGTCCTTCTTTCTTCAAGTCCGAAGTTCGGTATGTTCGAGGTGGTGCCGGCAGCCCTGGTGGGCACCTACATGGGCGTGATCCTCAACTCCATCGTGCCCGGTTGGGTGTGGCTCTCGGCTCTCGCGTCTCCCTTTTCTCTCTGTTTAGCTGGTCTGTTTCTCCTGTCAGTTCTTTGCCCCTCCCTTTATCCCTTGGAGTGAGGCTGTTCTCATGGCCTTGGTCGGCATTCTCCTGGCGATTTCCTACATGGTCCTTCAGACCACATGGTCGCAGCTGGGCACCCAGGATCGAGAGCAGGGCCATGGTCAATGTTCGGACAACCCTTTAACGCCTTGAATCAATTAATTAATTTACAAGTTTAACGCCTTTAACGCCTTTAACGCCTCTGTGAGAATGCGGGTTAAGCCACTACATTGCTGTAAGGGTCCATCGTGTACAATTCAAGTAACACCCCCACCACCTGCACCGATCTTGGTCCCGACGCATACCTTAATTTACAAGTTTAGTCAAATTTACATTTGGATGGGAGGCTAGTTCAGCTGGTAAGCGACCTTTCTGGATGCTGCGATTGTCACAGTTCATGCCTGGGTGCAGTGATAGAGCTCTCCTGCTTTACGATTTCTGGCTAGGTATGCTGATGAGGAGCACATCGCCGAGCACAACAGAAAGACGGACTATGAGAATGCAAAGAAGGCAAGGCCAAAGAATTCTAGAACTATGAAGGTCGCGGAGGGACTCCTCGCCAGGAGTTTGTCCCTGAAGTAGCTGCGTGGAAAAGCTCACAGGAGGCAGGTAGAGCTCAGATTGCGCGCAGCCAGCAGTGTCTTGCGTGCGGCTTGCATCAGGTGCAAGAATACACCAAGACGGACATAGCACTGTCTGCAGTCTGGCACTCGTTTTCAACACTGAGTATATCTGAGCACTGAATTCGCTTGGGAGCATTTCCAGAACACAAAAATAATGCGTCCATGATGGCACGCACTCACAAGAGGCAGTCCAGTATCGTAGATTCATAAAAGAGAGTGGCACAGACCAATTTTGTATGCAGTCAACTCGAACCCTTGCTGCCTGTGGTCAGCACGTTCCCCTCGAAAGTTTCTTGTCTCTTGTCGGACCTGTCGAGCGCGCAAACCGAGCAGTGCGCCCGTCTTGTCTCTCACACCGGTGAATTCTTCAACAGACACGCGCCTCTCTCAATGGGTTGAGTCTCAACAGGATGGACTCAGAGGGTTCAAAATGCAATACTGAAGAGCATGTACGCATTTTAGTAAGGGAATAATATACTCCTCACCTCACAGAAGGAATGACAATTACGATCCTGCGTTCGCCAGAGGTAACGGAGACAACGCCTCACCCATGTGGCAACTGGATCTGCTTGCATCTATTGTTTTTGTAGCTTTTATTCGGCGGACAAAGGGCAATAGTAACGTACATTTTTAGGTTGTTGCTACATTTAGAGAAGCAAGCGCAAAGCTGAAGGAAATTAAGGATCGCCGGCATCCAGACTTGTTCGCCGTGGCAAACATGCGGCAAACAACGAGCTTGTTGAGGTTTGTTCCATAACTTCAACTAGCTCAGACTGACACCCTCTCGATGTTGGTTTTCAAACATTGCAAGCGATTGAAAGACAGCCCCAGCCTGCAACAAAAGCTGAGATGTGTGTTGGTTGCATTTCTACATTCTACATATGTCTAGTGTATTGTCTGAACTTTAAACGAAATGTCCAGGAAGTGTATGAGTTTCCATGAACTTTCCATGCACGCTATCCATGAACGTTCAAGGAAGCTTCCATGAACTTTCCAGGAACTGTTCACGAACTTTCCAGGAACTGTTCATGAACTTTTCAGGAACTGTTCACGAACTTTCCAGGAACTTTCCATGAACTTGCCATGAACTTTTCCAGCAAGTTTCCATGAACTTTCTGGGAGCTTTTCCAGGAACTGTCCATGAATTGTCCAGCAAGTTTCCGTGAACTTTCCAGTTCTAGGAAGTTTCTAGGAAGTTTCCAGGAAGTGTCAATGAGTGTTCCATGATTTTTGATTGAAGTTTCCAGGATGTTTTCAGGAGCTTTCAAGGAACTTTCCAGCAACGTTCCATGAACCTCCCATAAACTTTCCAGGAAGTTTTCACGATCTTTCGGAGAAGCACCTTCCAGCAACTGTTCATGAACTTTCCATGAACTTTCCAGGAAGTGTACATGAACTTTCCAGGAACTGTCCATGAACTTGCATGAAGTTTCCATGACCTTTCCAGGAAGTTCCAGGAAGTTTCCATGAACTTTCCAGGAAGTTTCCATGAACTTTCCAGGAAGTGTCCATGAACTTTCCCTGAACTTTCCATGAACTTGCATGAAGTTTCCAAGACCTGTCCAGGAAGTTTCCATGAACTTTCCAGTAAGTGTCCGCGAACTTTCCAGGAACTTTCCATGAACTTTCCAAGAGGTTTTCATGAACTTTCCAGGAACTTTCCATGAACTTGCATGAAGTTTCCAAGACCTTTCCAGGAAGTTTCCATGAACTTTCCAGTAAGTGTCCGCGAACTTTCCAGGAACTTTCCATGAACTTTCCAAGAGGTGTTCATGAACTTGACAGGAACTTTCGATGATTTTCCATGTTTTTGCTATGCAATTTCCATGCATTATTGTGCATGTATTATTCACTTTTTGTACAGTTTTGAAAGTGCATAAGAAATGCATATGACAAGGAACACTTCATAAGACATAAGAAATGCACGTACAAACAAGTGCATAAGAAGTGCATAAGAAACACAATAAATTCAGAAGAAATCCATAAGCAACGCGTAAGAAATTCAAAAGAACTGCATAAGCAATTCTCAGAACATTCATGGAGCTCTCATAAGAAATTCATAGGACAATGACATAAAGTTTATACAAAGTTCCATGGAAAGTTCTTGGAAAGTTCATGGACACTTCCTGGAAAGCTCCTGGACACTTCCTGGAACTTCCTGGAAAGGTCATTGACACTTCATGCAAGTTCATGGAAAGTTCCTGAAAGGTTCGGGGAAACTTCCCGGAAAGTTCATGGACAGTTCCTGGAAACCCGCTGGAAAGTTCCTGGAAAGTGAATGGAACGTTCCTGAAAGATCCTGGAAGGGTTCTGGAAAGTTCATGGAAACTTCCTGTGGCAGGGAATTTTCTAGGACCTCGGAGACCCACGTCAACAAATCGTTCGCTGTGCTTCACAAAAAGGATGCTACGTCAGAACCCCGCACCAACGCAGGGGTTGCCACCGTCTCGGACTTTGCTTGTAGATCAGTTGCCTAGTGGCCTACTGACATGTGGGAATCAAGTGGAGTCCAGACGTCGGTGCGTCAGGTGCGCCAACAACAAATCCTGGTGGCCAACTTTTATGGTTACCCCAGAGGGCCCGCTTGGCCTGGGGCTGCTTCCCTCACCGGTCACCCTTTAAATCCAAGTTCGGGGTTTGCTCGAACCGTACGCGGGGTAAATTTCACAAAAAACAAAGCCACTGGGAGAGGAACTTTCCGCGTTCACTTGCGAGCCGGGCCAAGCCCGATGGCGGTGGATTTGAAACGGGGCTTCGGGAAGTCGAGTTAAGTTCTTTGGGTGTCAAATCAGTTCGAGTTCGTTTGCCTCATCTTTGCTTCAAGCCATAGGTGATGCTGGCGGTGGTAATCACGGGCAGCGCTTTCCGGCACCACGCACTGAATTGCCAGAGCGCCCCTGAGCAGAACCGGCTGCAGGCGCGAGTGCGAACACTGCGAACAGAGCGAACCGTATTCCCGCTTGTTCGCTTGTTCCTTTAGGTTGTTTCACGAGCGCGTACGATGTGGGTGTGCTTAGCGGTTTATGCATGTTTACGCTAATTCAGCCAGCAGAGGCCAACAAGCTGTGATTGACGATGATGTCATAGCATGTCAACAACCATTGCGTTTTGCTGTATTTTTAGGCGCTCGGGGCGCTGACCTCTCAAGGTTTTGGTGGTGCATGGAGAGGTTGCTGGCAGTTTTGGAAGATTCAATCAGTAAGCAAGTGAGATGCGCTGAAAACCCTTCTGTTCACGTTTAACAAAGGCCTTGCAATGATCACAGGCCCGCCCAAGCTAGACACGCACGTAAGCGAGCGTAAGCGAGCGTAAGCGAGCGGAAGCGAGTGTAAGCATGTGATTCCGAGTATCCTTGCGACTTGTACTGAAACGTTAACTTTTGAGGCGGAGCGTGCTTGAAACACAATGTTTTGTATCACAGTGCTGGCTATGTTGGATACAAAGGCACTTCGCGTACTACGCTTGTGCTGAAAAGTTGCGATTTGCAAGCTGGACCTTCCAAAGTGCACTTCGTGCACTATTCCCATATTGAATCGCACTGTAAGCGCAACGTTCGCGCCAGCAAGGCCTCGCGTACGCTATGGTGACCTGCAAACATATTGCTAGTCACAGCTTGCGCACGCCTTGCCGTTAAACTCTTCGTAAGCTGGTTGTGTGCGCGCATAAGACGCGCATCAGCGTTGGCGTAGGCAACTTGTTTTCGCAGAGGAATCTATCGGTGTTTTTAGCATGGCTCAAGTGAACCAATGATGGGGTGTTTACATTTTGGTTTGGGACATGCATAGATCAATAATTTGCAACCAGTAATCAAATAAAACAATGACAAACCCAAACAAGGTCGGCACAAGCCCCAGCCCAGATGAAGGTTGCAGGGGACAATCCCTTCTTGATGGTAGTGTAGTTGAAACAACAGCATTTGTCTTGTTGCTGTGGGCGTTTGTATTGATGGTTCCCCACATGAGCTGCCAGGAGAGAACTTGCCCGAAGTGGGTTCCCAATTTCTGTGAAGTGATGTGTGAGGCAATGAATTCCGGGGCTTGCCATTCCAAGAGCTCTTGCGTTGTTGCTGGGAAGACAATGCCCGGCCATCAGCAATGAGAAGATTCACCACCTGAGAATAGGTCAGTTTGGCGCCGACACGCCCTTTCAAACGACAGCTCAAGCCAGCTAACAAAGCCACGTTTTGTGGATGTAGTTCATGGGATTGACAGTCAAAGGATGGAAATCTGATGCCGGCAGTGCAGGTGTAACACGTGTGCATGCCAAGCGCACATGCACCCATATACACACACACACCTTCCTAAAGCACAGACTGGTCAATCCAGGCGCTCAGCATCCCCAGAACTTTCTGTCTCCAGCAACTCGATACCATGGATCCCTCCGGAGCCTGACACTCGCAATCGAATTCAGAGCCACCTGCGTTTCGCAGAGTTTGCATTGTGTTTGTTATATGTTTGCATTATGTTTATGTTTGAGGCGTGGCGTCCGCATGCGTCCGCTAGGTCTGCCATCACCCGACCCTGTTCTGGCTGGAAGCCAACACGCTGATGACCTGGATGCAGACGCCCAGCACAGCGGCCTTCATCAAGGATCGTTTTTCAAGAGCGAAAAACCTTTGAGTGCGCGGCATTCGGCGCAAGAACGGCGCATGTTTCGGCACATGTCTCATGTCTCATGTCGGCCAGGTCTTTTTTTTCGCTGGGCCTATGATCTTTTGCATCACAGTGCTAGCGTGCGTGGCTGCTTGCCTAGAGGTCAGGTTCAGGGCATAGGGCACTTGGAAAACTGAGGCGGCCAAGCTAGTCAGAGACCGGCGCTCGGAAAGCACGGGCTCAGAGTGTTTGAGCCGAGTTGACGAGTTGAGGTCGGTTGGTCTCCCGCATTGACAGTGAAATTCAGCATCATGAGCGTCACCACAGGGTGCTTGGCAGGCGGAACTGGCACAGCTGGCACGCATGGCTTCATGCAAGGCTTCACGCATGGCTTTGTGTAGTTTGAGGCTTCGTGGGAATCGGCGGAGGACCGCGAAGGGCCTTGGAGGGCCTTGACTGCCGCGGTCTGGGAGTGGCTGTGAGGACTCATTTTCTCACCCTACTTTCTGCTGATGGGGCTGGAACCCGCTGTTGCAGTGGCAACGTCATCTACGTGTGTGATTTTTACAGCCTCCTCGACAACCTTCCAGCTAATTGGCAGAGACTCCATTGCTTCAGAGTGTGACACACGCAGACTGGTCCACTTGATGCATACGCCGAAGCTGCTCGCGTTTCGGACATGCAGTGTTGCAATCCCAAGGTATCTCCTTACAGTGGCAAGCTCAGAGGAAAAGAGAAGAGGACGCGCAGCCCACCATCTTCCATGAGCTGAGGATCGCATCATCATGTCGCTGATGCTCGTTTACGGCCTTGTGAACTTGGTGTCCTCCTATGCAGGGACGTCGTTGGTGCACTACCTACAGGAGAATGCAGTGAAGATTAGTGAAGCAAGATGCGGCAGATGGCAAGTGAAGTGGTGAGTGCCTACCAAGCGCCCAAGCGCCGAAGCGCCCAAGCGCCCAAGCGCCCAAGCGCCCAAGCGCCCAAGCGCCCAAGCGCCTAGGGGTGACGTGCAGGACCAATTGAGCACAAGACGCTCCTACATTTCAGGCATCGTGTCAGCGGGCGTAGTGATCAGCACATTGCTGGCGGTTCGAGAACTGATCTACGAGGCACGGGGTTGGGGGTAGACTTGGGGCAGCTTGCAATGGCATTGGCAACTTGTGGGCCTGGCAGTCAGCCGAGGCTTACTGAACGAGTTCCGTTTCACGCGCAGAACGTGCTGTGCATTGCGTGTCCGAGTATTTTCTGGGGGCACGGATGTGAAACTTGACTCATTCGGCCTTGCCGCGCCTTGACAAGACTCATATCGAGTAAGCGTAGCTGCAGTGAGACTTTCGCGCAAAGGCACGCTAGACTTTCATAAAGAGAGATGGCATGAAATTTGCAAACCCCCCACACACACACAAATGGAGCAAAGCTGGCACGCATCAATAGGCTCTGGATGGGTTGCTTTTCTTCGCCCATGAGATCTTGACCGAAGACGCACATCGAATTAGCTCAGCCATCGGCTTCACTCAGACAGCACCCCATGGCAGTGACAGGGGAATGGGTACTTCGTGCATCGATCATGCAGTGCGAGGACCGGCTTTAGAGAACTCATTCCTTCTTTCTGTCTTTGTCTCTCTTGATACAACTTCTCGCCGATAGATATAAGACGCAGATAAAACAGATTTTTTTTTGTTCTCTTTTAAACACTTTGCTTGTTTTGTCGACTTCGTAAGGACGCGGTGATCGGAAAGGTGCACTTCACGGAGGACGGCGAGCTGGTCTACCTCACCACCTCCGGGGACCGCACGTTCAATCCCATTCATTTGAGTCGTTGCACTTGTCATGTCTCACGCGTCGTTTGAGCGAGTGTTTTGACTTTTGACACTAGCCGAGTAAACACCTAAGGTTCAAGCGTTGCGTTCCGCCTGTACAGCAAAAGGGTGTTACTGTGTTTCCTGAGTCAACGGAGATCTTGCAGATTCACAGTCGAAGTCCAGAATGCCAGTTTGTCGATGCATCAACCAGTCGACATGGCCAGAGCAAAACGCATGTGACATATGGAGGCAACGCAGTTGTGAGAATGGCCTCGCAAAGCTTCTCCAGCGGAGAGCAAGTCCGTCAGGCTACTTCGCAAGACTCGAGAGACGTGAAAATTGCACCGCGAAACAGAGCATTTCAATATGCCAGGCTACAAGCAACTAGCGCAAAGGGTACCTCAGAAAGGAGGCAATGGAGACATGGATTTGGCCTAATGGGCCGCTTGGAGATGGGTAACATTCGCTGATGAAAAGCGGGATACAATGAACCCGGTGCGGGTCGTGGGCTTTCCGTTTTCGCTTTCTTCGCGCTTCGAATAGCCCGGTGTAGCCCGATGCCCTTTTTTCGCCTGGTTTTGCGGCTCATGATGGCCTGATGGCTTATGCCTTAGGCGCGTTCCAGTTCAAGCTCGCTCGCGCTAAAGACGAGGTCGTTTAGCGAAAGGATTGACAGAAAGTGGCTTGGCCTCTTGTGAATGCTACCAGAATGAAAGTTACACTTCAAGCAACTTGGCCTCACACCGCTTGGCAGAAGACGTTGTGCTCGCGTCACCCTTCTCCTGTTTCAGGGAAAAGATTGTTGTGGTCCGATATCAAAACGAATGAAGTATGCGTGTTGTACGTGTTGTACGTGTAAGTGTTGTACGTGTTCTAGGTGTGTTTGCATAGGTTGGAGTTGCGAGGAGTTGCTGGGCCGCGGCCTCGGTCGCTGGGCCTCGGAGGGCCCAGTGCTGGGCTTCGAGCTGGACATTTTCCAGTACGAGGCTATGTCACTTCCATGTCACTTCCATGTCACTTCCATCTCTTATTGCCGTCCGAGACACGCATTCCGAAACGTAGCCAGGGCCCCTTTACGTTTCGTGAACACTTCTCGAAGTCTTTGTGCTCACAGCATGCTTCACAGGGACAAAGCAATGGCAAAAGTTACAGGATTTAGCCAGCGGCAAGACATCCGCACATGTCTGCCTCAGCTTGTATCTCTCTTGCTTACTCACCGTATAACACTGCAGCCGTGCAGTACGCTGAAATTCCATGACCATGAACGTACGTTTACCGAACGGAAAGCAAAGTGAGGCCTCGCAACTCTTGGGTCAAGGGTTATTATTTTTGTTCAGCGTCACCTCCATTGCACGCTGTAACGTCCGGAAATTCCAATCAGCCTCAGATTCGGCTCTATGTCAAGCAGTCTATACTATACGAGTTCACTGAATGTGAGACTTGTCGCGCGAAACATACCGGTCAGGCAACTTCTCGGAAGCACGTGCAGCCATGTCCCCAGATGTTTGGAGCGAGCTGCCTATGGTGAGAATCGCTGCACTCGAGGACCGAGCCGCACCGCTTCAGGGCTTTCAGCAAGTTTCCGGAGAGAAGCGTTTGGGCCGGCGAGTGGTGGGGAACACAGTGCGCGTTTCCTCCCTCTCCGCGTTCGCTGCGCCTCAGGCAATTTCTGGCGTTTCAGCAGCCGCCTCGAGTGGTGGGCCGCTTCCACGCCAGCCGCAGCGTTCCAACGCTTTCACAAAAGCCGCTGGAGGACGGGGAATGACAACTGAGAATCTGAGAAGCCTTGCACTTCCGGTGTGCGCCATGTCGCACGTCTGTTGGTCAGTGTCGCATCGCGGAAGGGGGCACGGAGGACTTGCCAGCAGGTCCCAAAAAGGCAGTTGCCGCAAAGCTCGACAAGTTGTCGGACATTCTGCCTATGATGCAGCCGGGTTGGGTTGCCCATCATCTTCCAGGCCAAAACTCATTTGCACATTGATGTCATCGCTGTCGATGTCGAGGCAAGATTCAGGACGTCCATTACGTCCGCAACTTCCTGGAGCCAGACCCTTATCTCCCGGTCACCCATGGGAAACGACACGCGACATTGACACATCGCGATTTATTGCGACACGTGAGCCAGCAATCCATGGAAATCCTTGTCCCAAACGTTTCAAGCAGGTGGAGGAGTCTCCGCCAGCCCTCGCAGCTCGCGTGCGAGAATTAGACCGTGCGCCGGGTTTACAGTTGTCCCCTCGCTGCCCGCGCGCGAGAAGCCTCTCACATGCGCGCGAGAAACCTTAGACTGTTCACCAGGGATACAGCTGTCCCCTCACAGCCCACGCACGACAGGCCTTGGGATGGGTATTTGTTTTGAGTGTTTAAAAACAAAATCGGGTTCTTGGCTTTTCGGCTTCTTGGTTTATGCGGCGTTTGGTGGCTTTTTGGGTTTGACTTTGAGCATCCTCTGCATTCCCAGTTCCTCTCCGGCAGGAATATTTGTTGTTGCATTGTTTGTGTTGTTTAGATTATTCGAGTGGTCTAGGCAAATTATTCAGCTTCAATTCCGAGAATTCAATAATTCCGAATCGCAAATTTGCCGAACTTTCGGAATTATTAAAGCATATTGAGCTCTAATTTCAATAATTTCGAATGATTCCGAATCGGAATATTCCGAATTTTCGGAATTATCGGAATTATTGAGCTCGAATTCCAATCATTTCGAAAATTCCGAATAATTCCGAATCGGAATAGTCTAAACTTTCCGATTTTTTCGGAATTTGTGGAATTATTGAGCTCTATTTCCAATAATTTCGAGAATTCCGAATAATTCCGAACTGGAATAGTCTAAACTTCCCGAATAATTGGAATTGAGCTGCCTGTTTTGATTTTAGTTTCAAGGAATGTTTTAGAAACTATGGATTATAAGAAAGTGGTTTAAAGGAATGTAGGTATTATACATTAAGGATTATGACAGACAATAAAGCTGAATTTTGTGATAAATGTAAAAAGAAAACACGTTAGATGAACTGAAGATGGTAGAGTGTGTTGTAGAAAGTGTAATGAATATAATGTAAATCATAGAGCAAATCATAAAGACAGATATAATGAGGCACAAAGAAAAAGATATGAAGAAGATGATGAATACATAATAAAGAGGCAGGAAGCAAAAAAGGAAAAAGCAATAAATATTGTACGTTGTGATGATTGTAACCGTTCAATGAGGCAAGACAGTTATTATCAACATCTCAAAACAGATAAACGTAAAAATAATATAGAAATGAAACCGGGGGACTCAAACCAATATTATTTTTGCTAATTACTATTTTACGTAAAACTGTATAAGGTTAATATGGAATATAACTTGTCAATCTATTACAACATATTTTGATGAATCTTTATGAAATATTTTGAACATTATTATTTTTAAAAAGATGGGTTCAACTACTGCTCTCAACATATGTTTTACTGTTTCGCACCCTTTCTTGAATCTTTGCACCCCTGTTTGAATCATCACTTTTTCGAACATCATGGGGGGGCTGCCGCCGCCCCCCAACCCCCCCGCTACTTTTTAGACTTATTGCAGAGATTGAATTGCACCCCTATTTGAATCATCGCTTCTGCGAACATCAGGGGAGGGGCTGCCGGCCCCCCCCCCCCCCCAACCCCCCCGCTACTTTTTAGACTTATTGCAGAGATTGAATTGCACCCCTATTTGAATCATCGCTTCTGCGAACATCAGGGGGGGGCTGCCGGCCCCCCCCAACCCCCCCCCGCTACTTTTTAGACTTATTGCAGAGATTGAATTGCACCCCTATTTGAATCATCGCTTCTTCGAACATCATGGGGGGGCTGCCGCCCCCCCCCCAACCCCCGCTACTTTTTTTGTGGGGGGGGATTGAAATGCCCTCCTATTTGAATCATCAAGTCTTCGATCCTGTCAACCCGCCAGCCGATTTTTGTACCCACAACATGTTGGTGATGCTGAGGATGTTGGTCGGGCATGCGGGGATGTTGAAAACGATGCTGGGGATGTTGACTGTAGAATACGACATTTTTACCGGCCAAGACGAATAAAAACAAGAACGACCAAAAATCCCGAAATAAATCCGCACCCTTAGCCTTTAGACCTTGCACCTGTTGCACAGCTGTACAGCCTGCGAGAGAGAATCCTTTGGACCGTTTACCGGTTACCTTTGCCGGATATGCAGTTGTGCCTTCACAGCCCGCGCGCGAGAAGCCTTTTGACCGTCAACCAGTTTCACAGCTTTTTCCTGCGCGCGCGAGAAGCGTTTAATTTTGTAACCGGTTACAGCTGTCTCCAAAGAGCACGTCGTGAGAGGCCAATCCAACAATCGGTTATGCAGGCGCCAGGAGCCTCAATTCCTTCCGCGGATATACAGTTGCCCATGTCCTTTGAATCCTGTAACCGGTGATTTCCGGACCTTAGCAGATTGCGATACATTGCAATACGCGTGCCTAAGAGAAAGCGCGTAAGGCAAACCAGGTGAATGCGTTGCAGGTGCCCCGCAAGAAGCATGGCAGTCCTAGGCCCAAGCAGGTCGAGGAGTTTGAGCGAATCATTGACAAGACCTGCAGCTCAGCGAATCATTGGTTTCATTGACAAGACTTGCTGCGAAGAGTCGTTCCCAGGTGACTGGGAACGGATGAACACCCGCGATACGCAGGAGCCAGATACCCAATCCTAACGGGTTCTAGTCTAGATGTCTGGATGCTTTTTTGTGCCAAGTGCCACATGCAAATTGCCATCGGTGCACAGGTTCGGCTCCTCAGGCCAGTGCCCGTGTGGGAGAAGCTTGATGCGAGCCGTGACCGCCTCAGACGCAAGGGCCGAGAGATGACGAGAGCGCCCTTCAACTTGTCATGCTTCTTCTTTTTGCTTGAATTGCTGTCACTTTCAGGCGTTGCCGAGCTGGCAGAGCACCATGGTGGATGCACTCGCCACGCTGGGCGTGTTCCACCCCCTGCTCTTTCCGGCCAACAGTGTACGCAGAGCAGTAGAGGGAAGAGGGGAGAAGAGGGGAAAAGAGAAGAGAAAGAGAACAAGTCACAGGAGTCGGAGAGCTTGTGCGAGGGGCTAAAAGAGGCTACGGCTCTGTGGGCCAGTACAACAATTCGTGCCAGGTTCGCCTCAACGCCTACAAGCAGACACCCCAGTTGGAGAGACAAAGAGAGAAACATTGAAGTAGACTCCAAGCAGACAGTGGGCCGAGAAGGACAGATAGGACAGATTCAATCCATGGGATTGTGCTGTTGATATCGATGCTTGCGACTCACTCCGTAAGGCCTGGACAAGGCTTGGTGTGCGTTTCACGCGTTTTCCATTCGTGCTTGCCAGTGCTTGCGCGTACCAGATGGGCTGTGAGGCATTCACCCGCACTTAGATGGCCCGGTCTACTTTCCACGAGTTGCTCGACATGCATTGGTAGCCTTTGAAAGCCCGTGCACATCCCATGTCCAAGCCTACGATCAAATTTCCGAGATGTGCTGTTTTCAGGCAAGACCGTAAAACTTGTCTCGCAATGCCGCAAGAGGATTGGACTTGGTCGAGGCTGAAGTTGTGCTTCATTTCTGGATGCAGCCTGCGCCCATCGCCTCGCGATGGCGTCCGGCCAGAGAGATCCAGAGTGGAATTTGAACACAATCGAATCAACGTTGAGTCCATGAAGGAATCGAGCGCACCGCCTTTCCGGGCAGCCACTGACAGCACAGAAAACATGAGTGCTCACATATTGTACACACTCTGCGCCCTGGGGCCCTTGGCCGTTTCCGTCGTTTCCAGTCAGCTTACGCTAACGCTTCAACCGGCCAGCTGGCGCAAAGTGATTGGGAACTTGGGCTAGCGAAAGCCCGGCGCGGCCCTTGCCGGCTACTTGGAGCTACTTGGAGCACGTTCGTGAAAGCCTGGTGAGCTGGAGACGTGCGAAGCCGAGCATCGGGGCGACAAGCGGCCAAGACGAATTGGATGGAAGTGCTTAAGGTCTCTTCAGGCTCAAGGTCCACGTTCCAGGCTGTTCTCGGCGCAGCTGGAAGTATCACGCTTGAGTCTTTACAAGCATGGTGTGCTATAGTGTGCTGGCATACCTCACGCAAGGTCACACGGCCTTGAATCTATTCCACGCATTCACCTTTCCTGGAAGCGTGTTTGGGCTTCTGAGCTGTGTGAGTGGCTTCAGGCACAAGCCCAAAGCAATGTAATGGGGCTATCGTTTGACGCATCCCACCTGGTACCGCCAGACCGAGCCGGAAGGATCCGGAAGCCCAGGGAGACAAATCAGGATGATTGAGCTGCTTCATCCAAGCACTTGACTTAGCTAGTTTCTGCCCGATCATTCCGTCTCGCTGGTGAGCAAAGGCCAAGTCCCAAGAAACGTATCACAATCGGCGAAGCACTGAACCCTCCGACTGACTGGCACCTTTTTGCGAAGTCCCGAGGCATAGTTTTGACAGGTTTCTTTTTTTTGGCAAGCGATGGGCGCAACGGTAGTAGACGAATTCATTTTTACAGAAGCCTAATCTCACAATGCGTGGATCAGATGCTGCGAGGTTTAACTCTAGCGTTTGCACAGCTCGCTGTGCCGGTCGAAAACAATCGTTTCGCCAGAGGCTGGATAAGAGAAGTACCAAGAGACGCAAAGACAGAATTCGAAGAGATGCTACCGCTACAGTTCGCGCGACGCGGCTTTTGCAGCTGGCCTAAGGCTGCAATTGTGAGCCTTGGATCCCAGTGCATCTTTGACTTCTATCCCCGCTCAGCCCCCAGCCACTCGCAACAGAGATCCAGGGACTGGGTTTGGAGTGAGGAATGGATGACTCGGACGAGAAGCGGGGATTTACGTGGGACAGAGACAAAGAGGCGTGCGGAACCGCTTGACCTGCACACCTGCACTCGATCCGTGAGGTGCCATCCGCTCCAGAGATGCCGCCTGGGACAAAGCCAGGATCCCAAGCTCTCACAAAGGTTCATTTCTTAGTCGGACCCGTTTGGACGAGTTTGAAAGGCCACAGCTGAGCATTCTGCTCGAGCCGGGCAGCTTGTCGCCACCTCGAAGCCGCAGTTTTCACGTTGCCGCCCATTCCCGCCTGAGGCTGGTGCTGTCTGGGGACGCTTTTGTTCACCACAGGCAGGCTCGTTCGGCAAGAAGCGCAACCTTGCGTGTCCGCGTCAGGCATGGCATCAAGGCAGTGGAAGAAGATGAAATCACAAGTGAGGCATGTTAGGGCAGCAGATTGTGCGATACTCTGAGCGTTGAAGGTGAAGAATGCGAAAGACATTGGTTTATCAGTGGGAGACTCTCTCAGGCGCGTATTTCTTGGACTTGCAGATGCTTGCGGCTGCAAATCATTACAAATCAATTCGCAGGCGCGGGAGAAGAATATCTTTGACCATTCGACATTTGCTGCCGCGGTGCAATTGCTGCTCAGCTCAACTTGATGGATGCTCATCTTGTCTCCTGCGTGCTGCAAAGGCAGTCCTGTCTTCTGACCTGAGTGCACCCGCATCAAAAAGGACTGTCAAGTTGCCGCCTCTGTTGTTCTCAGAGGATGAGATGGAGAAGCAGTTGTCATCCATGTTGTTCACGGTGCGGGACGTGGGCTCAAGCTACAATTCATGCATGTCCCATGAGCGAAAACGCATTGTCCAAGGTGCACGAATGGATGCTTAGATTGGGCAACATTACATTGGTCTGGCAATCCTTTGGTATGCCTTCACGTGTGTTGGGATGGGTGGTTTCTATGCAAAGCTCATGTCCGGGCAGGTTCTTGCGCCGCGCGCGCTACCGCGAGAGCCGCTTCGAGAACTGCAGCTGCAGGTTACGACCTAAGGTTTTTAAGGACTCGATGTCACGTGCTTGTCAAGTGCTTGTCAACTGTCAGCCATTCATTTCTCACATGGCGCAAGCTTGCCGGAACTTTGCCAAACTCCCAGATGCACGTTTGTGTGTGTGACAATAATATGTGACGTGTGCAATTGTGTACATGCTTGAGCCAGCCTTTGGAAGGTATCAAAGCCTTAGCGCTTTAAAGCTCCAGAAACATCGGCAGCGCGATGCAAACACTCACAAACACAGCAATGCCTGGCTGTGTGAAGGAAAAAAACAAGTTCTCCTGAGACAAACATCGACTTCTATGGTTCCCCTTATGCATGGAAGCTCAGCTGTTTCATTGCATTTAGAATAATTGCGTTCGCTGCATGGCCGTCCTTGCATGACAGTCCAATGCAAGGGCACCGGACACATCAGCAATTCGGAATCAAAAATGCCACCAGGGCTGTCATACGCATGCTAATTACCAAGCAGGAAGGCAAGCGTGTGCGAAAGTGGCGCAGCCAAGCGCTGGTGATGCACGTGGAGCACTGTGTCAAACACAACACAAAGCCAAGGACGGCACCTTGGGGCTACTTTTGCTACGCGTTTACGAAAGCACACACTGGCAGTGTCAGGGAGCTTTCGGGCTACTTTAAGGAACGATCTTGGAGTGTGCAGTCTTGGTTGTGGTTGGCCCAGGAGCTTGGGTAACTCTCACGAAAATCAACCCGACAAAAGGCAGGCGACACATTCACTTAGCGCCCCAAAACGAGCTCCCCCTGCCAGGCCATTGGCACTATCGTTTCCCAATGTTGGCCATTTTTGTGCCCAGGTTCCATGCGATTCGTCATTGGAGGAGACGAAAAAGCGGAGAAGTCGGTGGGAAGCCGACATCGAATTCCGCCTCAATCTGTTTGAATCCTCCGTAGAAAGACAAGAGCAAGAGAAAGCGAACAGGGAGTCTACGCTGTCCCTGGCAAGACACACAAGACGCACAGGACGCACAGCATGCACGTTTCAGGAATCGGAGCTTGAGGCATGTCAGGAGCCCGAGCAGCCCCAGGAGCCCGAGGAGCCCGAGCAGCCCGAGGAGCCTGTGGAGCCGCCCAATCTGCCAAGTTTTAATGATGCGGTGGATGCGGTGGATGCGGAGACGGAGACGGCGGAGACGGAGGCGGACGGTGCCCCTTGGCACCTGGAGACTCCGGAGCTCGCAAGTGCCATGTGGTGCCCGTCCATGGAGTCTGACTGGCCGACACCCCCTGGGAGTCAAGAGGGCAGCCCAAATCGATTGCAAAGTCCGGAATTCAGCTTTGCAAGGTCTGAAAGGTCTGACTCCCGCATTTCCTTCAACTCGTCCCATGAAACACTGGGTGGCACACTGTGTGGCTCGCTCTTGCAATGCTCTGACCGCGTGAAAGAACCTTTGCCCTCATGGAACTCTTGGAATCACACGCTCAGCTCATTCAATGCCTTGGAGCGGTCCGAGATGCAGCGACAGCGAGGTGCGCATTTGGCAAGGCTTCATCAGCAGCTCTCTCTTGCAACCCGAAGCGCCCAAAGTGAGACCGAGACAAGTGCCCAAGGCGCACAGAACTCTTTGAATTCCCAGAGCGCTGCAGCCCCAGCTGCAGTCCCTGCCCCTGCACGAGGTCCAATTCGAGTCTATGCGCGCGGGGAGGCATGGTTGGCCCAGAAGCGCGTGCGGCAGCAAGCTCTGCGGGAGCAAGCTTTGCGTCAGCAATTGCAGGCTTGCCAAGAGCCCCGGTTGAACCGGTTGCACCGTTCGCCCTCTCGAGCTAGTGCTTTCTATGACCGCCAGAAGCAATGGCGGGAGCGGCTGGACCAGAAGTGGGAGGAGGAGCGGAAAGAGCGCGCAGAGAAGGAGAAGGAGAAGGAGACGCCGCGTGTCACAAAATCTCCTTGGGAAGTCGAGGATGCCTTCGAACGATTTCACCACCGCAACCGCCAGTGGCTATTGGCCCGCGAGACCAAACGGGCACGTTCCGCTTCGCCGCGATCCTTGACCCCGCGGACCCCGCGGAGCCCGCGGAGCCCGCGGAGCCCGCGGAGGCCGAGGACCTTCCGGACGCGCTCGCTATCCAGGACTGAGGCCAGGCGCATCGCTGAATGCTCGCGCAATCGAGCACGGCCATGATCACACGCGATCGCTTCAGGAGAATCTGAGGTCAGAGACAGAGGTCCTGGGCCACCTGCAGGCGTTGCGCCATGCGCTCATCGACTCCAAGGAGTTCGAGCCTCATGCGATGAAATGCGATCTGATTGGTTTCGAAATGTGGCAGGCAAGCCCCGACCTGGCAGAAAGCTTTGCATGTTGAGGCCAGACTTAAAGCCCATGAACCGTTTGCATTGTGAGTGGCTATTCCAAGGTGTCGCGAGCAAAGGCTTCGTTTCGATTCGCAGGGGAGCGCGTCAAAAAGAAGCGGCACTGTCAGGGAGGGCTCGACCACGGAACACACGCGACCATTGCTCAATTATCACGCATGCATTGCTCTCCTCAGATTCGGCTCATTCTTCTTTCCGTACCAATTCCTTCCTAAAGCATTTATTCGTTCTATTTCCTTCCCTCTAAAGCATTTTTTCTGTTTTTTTCTGTTCGTATTTTCGTATCTCGCAAAGTTTCGATGGCGCTGAGTCCGGGTGGGCTGCAGGCGCTGCTGGGTTTGCAGGCGCGGCTGCGGCGCGCGGCCAGCGACCTGGCGGAGATGCGCGCCACGTTCGACCGCGCAAGGGCGTTGGAGCAGCGCCATGCCGTGGCCCATGCCTCTCAGGCCCCGGTTGCATCAGAGATTTTGCAACTGGTTTTCTGTTTATTTCTTATATTTCTTATATATATGTATATATATGTTTTTTCTTATATATCTTTCCGGTTGTTCCATTTGGTTTTCGTGTTCTCTGCTGTTCGCTTCTTTCTCCTTGTCCATCTCTCTACTCTCATCTGCTCTCCCTCTCTCTGTTCTTCCTTTCTCTTGGAGATGTTGTTGCATTTCGTTTTCGTGTTCTCTGCTGTTCGCTTCTTTCTCCATTTCCATCTCTCTACTCTCATCTGCTCTCCCTCTCTCTGTTCTTCCTTTCTCTTGGAAATGTTGTTGCATTTGGTTTTCGTGTTCTTTGCTGTTCGCTTCTTTCTCCTTGTCCATCTCTCTACTCTCATCTGCTCTCCCTCTCTCTGTTCTTCCGTTCTCTTGGAGATGTTGTTGCATTTGGTTTTCGTGTTCTCTGTTGTTTCGCTTCTTTTCTCCTTTTCCATCTCTCTACTCTCATCCTGCTTCTCCTCACTCTGTTTCTTCCTTTCTCTTGAGAGTTTTGCATTTGGTTTTCGTTTCTCTTCTTGTTCCGCTTCTTTTTCCTTGTCCATCTCTCTAACTCTCATCTGCTCTCCCTCTCTCAGTTCTTCCCTTTCCTTCATTGGAGATGTTGTTGCATTGTTATTCGTGTTTCTCTGCCTGTTCGCTTCTTTCTCCTTGTCCATCTCTCTACTCTATCATCTGCTCTCCCTCTCGGCTGTTCTTCCTTTCTTCTTGGAGATGTTGTTGGATTTGGTTTTCTCGTGTTTTCCTCTCGCAGTTCGCTTCTTCTCTTCCTTGTCCCATCTCTCCTACTTCTCATTTAGCGCCTTTCTCCCTCTCTCCTGTTTCTTCCTTTCTCTTGGAGATGTTGTTGCATTTGGTTTTCGTGTTCTCTGCTGTTCGCTTCTTTCTCCTTGTCCATCTCTCTACTCTCATCTGCTCTCCCTCTCTCTGTTCTTCCTTTCTCTTGGAGATGTTGTTGCATTTGGTTTTCGTGTTCTCTGCTGTTCGCTTCTTTCTCCTTGTCCATCTCTCTACTCTCATCTGCTCTCCCTCTCGCTGTTCTTCCTTTCTCTTGGAGATGTTGTTGGATTTGGTTTTCGTGTTCTCTGCAGTTCGCTTCTTTCTCCTTGTCCATCTCTCTACTCTCATTCTGCTCTCCCTCTCTGTCTACCTTTCTCTCTTGGAATGTTTGTTGCATTTGAGTTTTCGTGTTCTCATTCTGTTCGCATTCTTTCTCCATTTCCATCTCCTTCTACTCCTCATTTCTCTCCCTCTCTCTGTTCTTCCTTTCTCTTGGAGATGTTCTTGCATTTGGTTTCGTGTTCTCTGCTGTTCGCTTCTTTCTCCTTGTCCATTTCTACACTCTCATCTGCTCTCCCTCTCTCTGTTCTTCCTTTCTCTTGGAGATGTTGCATTTGGTTTTCGTGTTCTCTTCTGTTCGCTTCTTTCTCCTTGTCCATCTCTCTACTCTCATCTGCTCTCCCTCTCTCTGTTCTTCCTTGCTCTTGGAGATGTTGTTGCATTTGGTTTTCGTGTTCTCTTCTGTTCGCTTCTTTCTCCTTGTCCATCTCTCTACTCTCATCTGCTCTCCCTCTCTCTGTTCTTCCTTTCTCTTGGAGATGTTGTTGCATTTGGTTTTCGTGTTCTCTGCAGTTCGCTTCTTTCTCCTTGTCCATCTCTCTACTCTCATCTGCTCTCCCTCTCTCTGTTCTTCCTTTCTCTTGGAGATGTTCTTGCATTTGGTTTCGTGTTCTCTGCTGTTCGCTTCTTTCTCCTTGTCCATTTCTACACTCTCATCTGCTCTCCCTCTCTCTGTTCTTCCTTTCTCTTGGAGATGTTGCATTTGGTTTTCGTGTTCTCTTCTGTTCGCTTCTTTCTCCTTGTCCATCTCTCTACTCTCATCTGCTCTCCCTCTCTCTGTTCTTCCTTGCTCTTGGAGATGTTGTTGCATTTGGTTTTCGTGTTCTCTTCTGTTCGCTTCTTTCTCCTTGTCCATCTCTCTACTCTCATCTGCTCTCCCTCTCTCTGTTCTTCCTTTCTCTTGGAGATGTTGTTGCATTTGGTTGTCGTGTTCTCTTCTGTTCGCTTCTTTCTCCATTTTCCATCTCTCTACTCCTATCATCTGCTCATCCCTCACTCTGTTCTTCCTTCTCCTTGGAATTTGTTGCATTTTGTTTTCGTGTTCTCTGCTGTTCGCTTCTTTCTCCTGGTCCATCTCTCTACTCTCATCTGCTCTCCCTCTCGCTGTTCTTCCTTGCTCTTGGAGATGTTGTTGGATTTGGTTTTCGTGTTCTCTTCTGTTCGCTTCTTTCTCCTTGTCCATCTCTCTACTCTCATCTTCTCTCCCTTTCTCTGTTCTTCCTTTCTCTTGGAGATGTTGTTGCATTTGGTTTTCGTGTTCTTTGCTGTTCGCTTCTTTCTTCTTTTCCATCTCTCTACTCTCATCTGCTCTCCCTCTCTCTGTTCTTCCTTTCTCTTGGAGATGTTGTTGCATTTGGTTTTCGTGTTCTCTTCTGTTCGCTTCTTTCTCCTTGTCCATCTCTCTACTCTCATCTTGCTCTCCCTCTCTCTGTTCTTCCTTTCTCTTGGAGATGTTGTTGCATTTGGTTTTCGTGTTCTCTGCTGTTCGCTTCTTTCTCCTTGTCCATCTCTCTACTCTCATCTGCTCTCCCTCTCTGTTCTTCCTTTCTCTTGGAGATGTTGTTGCATTTGGTTTTCGTGTTCTCTGCTGTTTGCTTCTTTGTCCTTGTCCATCTCTCTACTCTCATCTGCTCTCCCTCTCTCTGTGTTCTTCCTTTCTCTTGGAGATGTTGTTGCATTTGGTTTTCGTGTTCTCTGCTGTTTGCTTCTTTCTCCTTGTCCATCTCTCTACTCTCATCTGCTCTCCCTCTCTCTCTGTTCTTCCTTTCTCTTGGAGATGTTGTTGCATTTGGTTTTCGTGTTCTCTTCTGTTCGCTTCTTTCTCCTTTTCTATCTCTCTACTCTCATCTGCTCTCCCTCTCTCTGTTCTTCCTTTCTCTTGGAGATGTTGTTGCATTTGGTTGTCGTGTTCTCTTCTGTTCGCTTCTTTCTCCTTTTCCATCTCTATTCTCTCATATGCTCTCCCTCTCTCTGTTCTTGCTTTCTCTTGGAGATGTTGTTGCATTTGGTTTTCGTTTTCTCTTCTGTTCGCTTCTTTCTCCTTGTCCATCTCTCTACTCTCATCTGCTCTCCCTCTCTCTGTTCTTCCTTTCTCTTGGAGATGTTGTTGCGTTTGGTTTTCGTGTTCTCTTCTGTTCGCTTCTTTCTCCATTTCCATCTCTCTACTCTCATCTGCTCTCCCTCTCTCTGTTCTTCCTTTCTCTTGGAGATGTTGTTTCATTTGGTTTTCGTGTTCTCTGCTGTTCGCTTCTTTCTCCTTGTCCATCTCTCTACTCTCATCTGCTCTCCCTCTCTCTGTTCTTCCTTTCTCTTGGAGATGTTGTTGCATTTGTTTTCGTGTTCTCTGCTTTGTCCATCTCTCTACTCTCATCTGCTCTCCCTCTCTCTCTGTTCTTCCTTTCTCTTGGAGATGTTGTTGCATTTGGTTTTCGTGTTCTCTTCTGTTCGCTTCTTTCTCCTTGTCCATCTCTCTACTCTCATTTGCTCTCCCTCTCTCTGTTCTTCCTTTCTCTTGGAGATGCTGTTGCATGTGGTTTTCGTGTTCTCTTCTGTTCGCGTCTTTCTCCATTTCCATCTCTCTACTCTCATCTGCTCTCCCTCTCTCTGTTCTTACTTTCTCTTGGAGATGGTGTTGCATTTGCTTTTCGTGTTCTCTTCTGTTCGCTTCTTTCTCCATTCGCTCTGTCTACTCTCATCTTCTCTCCCTTTCTCTGTTCTTCCTTTCTCTTGGAGATGTTGTTGCATTTGGTTTTCGTGTTCTCTTCTGTTCGCTTCTTTCTCCATTTCCATCTCTCATCTTCTCTCCCTCTCTCTGTTCTTCCTTTTTCTTGGAGATGTTGTTGCAATTGCTTTTCGTTTTCTCTTCTGTTCGCTTCTTTCTCCATTTCCATCTCTCTACTCACATTTCTCTCCTTCTCTCTGTTCTTCCTTTCTCTTGGAGATGGTGTTGCATTTGGTTTTCGTTTCTCTTCTGTTCGCTTCTTTCTCCATTTCCATCTCTCTACTCTCATCTGCTCTCCCTCTCTCCGTTCTTCCTTTCTCTTGGTGTTGTGGTTGCATTGGCTTTTCGTGTTCTCTTCTGTTCGCTTCTTTCTCCATTGCCATCTCTACTCTCATCTTCTCTCCCTTTCTCTGTTCTTCCTTTCTCTTGGAGATGTTGTTGCATTTGCTTTTCGTGTTCTCTTCTGTTCGCTTCTTTCTCCACGTCCATCTCTCTACTCTCATCTTCTCTCCCTTTCTCTGTTTTTCCTTTCTCTTGGAGATGTTGTTGCATTTGCTTTTCGTGTTCTCTTCTGTTCGCTTCTTTTTCCATTTCGATCTCTCTACTCTCATCTTCTCTCCCTTTCTCTGTTTTTCCTATCTCTTGGAGATGTTGTTGCATTTGCTTTTCGTGTTCTCTTCTGTTCGCTTCTTTTTCCATTTCCATCTCTCTACTCTCTACTCTCACCTTCTCTCCCTCTCTCTGTTCTTCCTTTCTCTTGGTGATGGTTTTGCATTGCTTTTCGTGTTCTCTTCTGTTCGCGTCTTTCTCCATTTCCATCTCTCTACTCTCATCTTCTCTCCCTCTCTCTGTTCTTCCTTTCGGAGGGCTATTTATTTTGGGATTTTTCCCGTTTTTAGTTTGGTTTTTTTGTTTGATATTCCTTGTCTGGCTTCTTAGCTTCTTGGCTTCTGGCCTTTGTGTTCTTGCAGTCTTGCAGTCTGGGCTTTTTGGCTTTTTGGCTTGTTGGCTTTTGGCTTTTTGACTTACTTTTTGTTTTTACTTTTCTTTGGTTTTTTTCTTGGCTTTCGGCTTTCGGCTTTTTGTCTTTACTTGTTTTGTGGCCTTTGTGGCTTTG